TCGTAAAAACAATGAGCCCTCCATTTCCAATGGGCTTCCATAGATTTAGATTTATGAACTTTATTACACATTCATACCCATAAAAGGTTAAGTGTACACAAAGTAAACACTAATTTTACAATATATCAATACAACAGAAAACAGTATATAACAACACACAAAATTAACACTTCATAATAAATAAATAAGTAAATAAATGAACAAATAAATATGCATCATGGATAAGCACATGAATGGTGATTGTGATACGCGTCCATTGTTTATGTCATATATCACACCCTTCTATGTTATATTACATTTATGAATAAATTCTGCTACAATTTCAATTTCTTTATTTTCACAAGACATACAATATTGGAAAAAAAGTGAATCGTCCTCCATGTTGAAAAGGTGTTTAATTGGGTTGCCGTGTGATACAAGTTTATCGAGCATTTTCTTTCTATATATACTGTATTTTTTACATGAACGCATTATGTGTTTTTCGTTTTCTATTAAATTGCAAACCTCGCAAATTCTTTCATCGATCTTTAATTTTGGGCGTTCGTATCTACCCGTTTCTATTTTTAATTTGTGGTTACTGATACGAAACTTTGTTAGACTTCGTCGTAAATGCCCATTTGAAATTGAATCTAAATATGGTTCGAACCTGAAATTGCTTTTAAATATTTTGTATGTATTCAGTTTGCGACACTGGTCGGAATTCAATTGATTTCGCCAATAATCTTCAAAACTATTTTTTGATTTACAAACAACTTCGGATGCGTCAATAGTATATTCTTTTACATCTAAAGTATTATTGATATTGCTGGGAGTATTTCCTGAAAATGATACTACCTCTAATTTATCCATTACACTTTTAAAATTCAGCATCCACGATGACTTGTTGATCTTTGATAAGTCATTTGATGTAGTAAGTGCTTCTGATAATAAGATGTATGACGTATTTAACATGTGATTATAGAAATTAGTAGCTTGTTTGAATATATTTATATATAGTGGGTATTTCCCAAGCTCTCCATAAATTGCTAAATTTGTTGATTTTTTATTTACTTTAAGAATATATTTACAAAAAGATAACAGAAGTTTCTCAGATGGAAATCGTCTGCCATTTGTAAACCATTCATTCAAATCTTTTGTAGAAAAGTAATTCGACATGCCCCATATTTCAGATCCATATAAGATTATTGGAACTACCAATTGTTCAAAAATCTTTATTCCTATTGAAGGTTTTAAACTTGTATCGCCTAGTGACCTTTTTATTTTATAAATTGCCTTTAATCCTCGGTCATACAGATAGTCCTTGGATTTACTAAACGTACCTGAACTACTTATGGTCAAACCCAAGTATTTATATGATTTTACCGTCTCGATCTCATCCCCATCAAAATAAAAAATTTCTGTACATTTTCTACCATTTCCAATAAATTTCATTATTTTTGTTTTCGATAAATTAATTGACAAATGCCAGTCTTTACAATATTTTGAAAGATTATCTATAGACTTTTGAAGTCCATTTCTGCTCAAAGACAAAAGTAGAACATCATCAGCATACATCAAACAGTTTACTTTTGAACTTTGTAAAATTGGTGCGTCATTGTAACCTATAACCGCTGGCAGATCATTTAAAAACAAATTGAATAGTGTGGGAGACATTGGATCCCCTTGTTTAACACCAGCATTCACTTTTCTAAATTCAGTCCTCTTATTTGAAATACTGTTTTTTTATACATATTTTGGTATCTTGATACATTTTTCTAACGATTTCAAAAAACTTTCCTTTTATACCAACTGACAAAAGTTTATACATAAGACCTTCCCTCCAAACGCTGTCAAAAGCCTTTCTAAAGTCAATGAATATTCCATAAATAGGAGATTTTAAATGTTTAACATATTTATCATGAAGCGTTCTGATAATAAAGATATGATCCACTGTTCGTGCTTTCTTCTGAAATCCTATTTGAGCTTTATTCATAATATTATTATGATTTATGAAAACCTGCAATCGTGCATCCAATACTGAACTAAATATTTTTCCAAACACATTGTTAATTGTTATACCTCTATAATTTGATAATTTTCTAGGATCTCCGCTTTTAAAAATTGAAGTGATATATCCCTCTCCCCAACTTGCCGGATATTTTCCTGAATTTAATATTGTATTAAATATTATTTTCAAATATGGCAGTATTAATGATTTGGTACTTTTGACCATTTCATTCGAAATCATATCCAAACCAGATGCTTTATTATTTTTTAAGCCTTTAATTGCTGTCTCGATTTCTGATTGTTTAATCTCAAAATCTAACTCTGAAAAGAATGGTTCTTTTCGCATCTCCTCGATCCGAGAAGAAATCTCAACATTTGATATGTCGGTCGTGTTAAGTAATTTATAATAGTATTCTAACCATTCGTTAATTTCAACGCGGTCTTGAGTGACTCTCGAACCAGGCTCTTTTAGTTTGTCTATTAAATTCCAATATTCAGTTGGATTTGTAGAACTAGCGTTTTCAAGCTTTTCAATTAATTCCGCTTTATATTGATATTTAGCTTGTTTACATCGTTTTTTATAAACCTTTTTCACTTTAAAGAACATACCTCTTTTATAAGGATTTGTGGGATCATTTTGTAAACATTTGCCTAATTTTCGAACTTCAGAATGCAGTTGCTTGCACGATAAATTATACCACTTTTTACATCGTTTTTGTTTATTTCCTTTCTTATGTCTGACGAACCTCTTTTCAAGCGTATTGGACGCAGCATTGTGCATACACTTAGTTAAGTTATTTAACATATCATCTACATTACTATAATGATCCATATCGTACAGGCTGCGTTTATTTGTAATCTCGATTTTCAATTGGTCGTGAAAATCTTTGCTATTTTCTGAAGACCAGATATATCTCGGAGGTAATGGAGTTTGAGTATAGACTTTACTTTTCCTCGTTTTATGTTTGCAAATTCTGCTAAATTCAGAATTATATAACAAAGAAATGGCACAATGATCAGAAAGGTTTCCTTGAAAATCATGCACTTTAAATGTACATATGTTATGCATGATTTCCGATTGCGCCAGCGCTATATCAACCGTGCTACTTCCATTATATTTATGACATGTAAGACTACCTTCTAAATCACCAATTTTCCGCCCATTCACAATTCTCATTTGACAAGATTTACATAGTTCAAGCAGCTGTCGTCCTTGTGTGTTAATGATTTTGTCTTTATTAAAGCGATTAAGTAGATTTGAATCACAATCATTGTTATATTCCGGATAGACGGGGACGTATTTTTCATCATCTTCGACTATGAAATCATTTCCAATTCCAAATCTACTATTTAAATCTCCTAAAATAAGAACGTTCCCACATTTTGAATATTTTGCTATTTGTTCAGTAAGAATGTCAAATTTGTCAACAACCTGTCCCATAGACAATGATGAATTACTCGGATTGATATATACAACTGCTAAAAATAAATCATTTTCAAATCCAAAGAAATTTTTATCTAATCTTAACCATGCTATATCATCATGAGTTATTGGTTCCTCCTTAACACCATCTAAAACACATTCGCTGATTAAAAACGTAACACCACCTGTATTTTTCGTTGCATTGGCTGATTTTTCCCGAAAATTATTTATCAGCTGTTTGTACCCTGGAACGCATATCGCAGTATCACAATCACCATGAGTTTCTGTTAAGCCGATTATATCAAAGCCGTGTATAAACTTTACAAAATTCTCATCACAGTACTTATACATCTCTCTCTTCCTGTCAAAAAGTCCTTCGACATTCCAATGAGCTAGTCTTAGACTAGAAAGTAACATTTCGCTGATTAGTATCCGTATGAACAAATCTCAATATTTTACATGCGTAATCACAGTGAAATTAGACGCAAGTTAACCATATCCATTACCGCATACTTCAAATGGTTACAATTACATATTTTTGATTTTATGAATAAATGATACAATAATTATACAGCGATACTAAAATCCAATATTTTACGATTACACACTTTCAGTTCAACGAATATTGACTGTATTAATAAAGGCACTTGGTTATAGCATATTTAATATTGTTAAAGAGTCTCCTCTCTCCTTGCTCGGAAAGGTGAACCCTGTCTGCACTGAAGAATCGTGGAATGATACTACCGTCTGAAAACGACAGATTTGTATTATCGATAATTCTAATATCGTGGGATTTGTTATATCTGTTCCAAAAGTACTCATTTATGTACTCTGTTTTGCTGTTACGCTCTTCCGAATCTCCCCTATTTGGTGCTAGCGATATGAGTACTTTCGTTCCTGGAAATAGCTCTTTAGTGAGAGTTGTAAGACCATTCATTCGATTAATACACGCGTCGACGCTCAGAAATTTAAGATCATTCGAAACGACTTGAAAAACTATGCAGCTTGGACTTTCATTTGGGTGACATTTCTCTTTGATACCCAAAACAACATCCGACGCTTCTTCAATCGTATAAGCGGTATACTTATATGAATCAAACCTACTGCTTAGTTTTCCCGGCTGTAGATTTTTAATCAGTGACGAACCAATTATCAAAACACTATCGCGGTATTGACGATTTGAATTCCTATTCTCGACATTTCTGCGTATTCCTCTACGTGGAGTTGACCTACTGGAAACGCGTGGTACAAATGGTACAAAATGGTACAAAATGGTACAAAGTGGTACAAACGCGTGGTACAGTCCATATGAATGTCATTTTTTAAATTTCCTAAAGATTGTTCTCGACCAGTTTTTGACATGTCAGTAATTGGCAAGGACAGGGTTTGAGAGAAATTGAATTTAGTTTTCAAAATTGAATGATTTGCTAATAACATAAAACCATGAGTTAATTTCGATACTTTGTCCTCTAGGGGAGTTAATGTACACGTAAGCCGACGACCTTCAATTGTGTTGAGTACCCTGCCGATAGATAGTGTCTGGAGTATAAACTCTTATCAAGTCTTGTGACTTAAAACATATTTAGCAACCATGGCGAATAGTGAAATGTTTGCAGCGCTGCTTCAGCGTTTGAAGGACGATTGTTTAAACTGTACCATATGTACTGATGATTTCAAAGATCCGATCATACTGCCTTGTCATCACAGTTTTTGCAGGAAATGTCTCGGAGACTCCGTAAGGGGGAAAATAATAAACAATAAATTCCAGTGCCAGGTCTGTGATAAACTGACGGAAATTCCCGTTGATGGCGTGCAAGGTTTCCCAGTCGATGAACGGGTCGCAAATATGCTGACCAAGATTGATGCTCTTTTAAAGGTAGTTCCGTGCAGTAGCTGCGACACTAAGGAGAACGCCAGATGGAACTGTAAAACATGTCGTCAAGCGTACTGTAACAGGTGCATAGAGTTGCATAAAAATATACAAGATGCAGAGAAACACCAAACAGAGCTCATTAATGCCGAAGATGTGGGTGAAGCTGACCCTGAAATGACAGATAGTTTTTACAGGGAAGCTAGACTGACGCATTACTGCCCAAAACACAAGAAAGAGGAACTTGATTTATATTGCAAAGATGACAACCTGGTCGTGTGTGGAAAATGTATCGCAGTAAAGCATAGGGATCATGAAATTATCGACGCCGAAGACAGAGCTACAGAAATTCGTAATGATATCAGTGACGTTCTAAAAAAAGGTGAATCGAACTTTAAGCGTCCGCTTGTAGATTATATAGATTTCATCGAGAACACTATGGTGGAATGTAGGGCAAACCATGACGAAACGGCGATTTCAATTCATGCATATTTTCAAAAGATCCAGGCCGAAATTGATGCCAAGAAAGCCGACTGCTTGCAAAATTTGAAAAATAATTATGCGTATCAAGTGGAACTTTTGGAAACAATATCAAACGACATGTCGGGACGATTGGGTCGGTACAACAATGAGAGGAGACTTTTGGAAATACTAAAATCAGATACATCAGATGTCCAACTGATTAAAATGAGGGATAAACTGAAAGATACATTCACCGCATGGGAGTCCAACGATTGGCAGCGCCCTTACAAATCAATAACCTTCCAAATTAACGTCTTCGCCAATGACAAACAGACATTCGAACAGTACCTGGACAGCGTCTCTTTGGATGTAGAAGACCAAGTAAGGGAGACACCTATGTCGTTATCGGCCCCCGATGAAAAAAATCACGAAGCAGAGGGGTCGAGTATCTTCGCTTCTGGGAGAGGTCAGGCATATCATCTTATGATGTCGCAATCGCTTCAAATGAAGCAAACTTAACATCACTTGTACAAGTGAAGCAAAATCTGTTGCGAAAATCAACAGAGATGATGTCCTTATTGCAACAAATACGACAATCGGACTATATGATAAAAACTGCAAGCCCGCGAGAGACGTTAAAACATTTTGTGCAGTGTTGTCATTAACAGCCGGTCCACTGGTCATTATCTGGTTACTTTTGATACGGACCAGTTGATTTTTTCACTAGGTATAGGAAAATAACATTGCAACTGGTCCGTAATATCATTTTGACCAGCAGGTTTCAGCCCCTTAGTGTCTACACTGATTTTGTGATATACTCATATTGCTTTAAACCAGAATAATGACATCGCTGGAGTGGATAACGCTGCTAAGGTTGTTGTCGTCATAGACCAGACAGGCAAAGAGAAGATGAGACTGGATCAGCTAGATTATCCTTGTGACGTTGTGTTCAATATAAACGGAGATGTTGTGGCGTATTTTATGGGTGATCGAGAACTGAAGGTGTATAGTGATACTGGGGTATTGAAACATAAGACATGGCACAATAGAACTCTTCATAGTTATGAAAAATACGTACAGACTGCTATGTATGGACATATCCTAGCTAAGACATCGGGAAACAAGAACATCCTCTAATACAGCAGAGACCTGAGTCTGAGTGTCAACACGGAGGTGCTTCGATGTAACGACCAAATAGATGCTTTCACTGTAAACAAAGATGGCTCTCCAGCTTTGGTGGTACACGGCACTAAAACATTTAACATTTACAGATAGTTTTTTAGCGCAAATGTCTCTGTTAGGCTTGCACTTGTAATTTGGTATTTTATTGAACATGATGATATTAGGATTAAACATGTAGAGCAGGCGTTTAAGATCTTGCTTATTTTTAAAAGTGATTAACAAAATATATCTTCTATACCTGATGTATATTTTTTGTTATATCTATACTTGTCATATTAAAAATCAAAATGGGTTTAGGAGTTCTCAGAACCAACCTACACCAAGACCGATTCAGCAGCATGAATACATCGATAAAAAGGCCCTTTCTCTTAATATATCAAATGTAAAAATTACATGATAGATCGCGAAGTTGTTTGGAAAGCTTCTATTGCTTGTTCTTTGACCGATATGAGATTGATGACTGACCTGCAAATTGCTTTTATACCCTTCTAATCGAGATCAGTTTGTTTATTACAAAAATATGGTATAAACACTCGTGTTTTTGTATGAAATTTGAACCATATTAAATGTGCGATATTTACGATACATAATGCGATATCATTTAAATGTATTCCATTCTACTAATTTTTTATCAAACTGCCCATTTGTTTAACCTCCCATTGGACACTTATCTCAACTCAAAGTGATCGTACGTTTCATTTTAGATAAATCAGTAGTAAATACATTATGTAGAGATATATTTGGTATTTTATAGATCGATACAATAACCATTATATTTAATTATCTCTTGTCACATTTACATTTAACAATGGCATGAGAGAGAGGAAACAGTTAAGTAGTGAAGGGGGTCAATTTCTTTTTTGCTTGATACAGGGGTAATAGTTTAGTGAAGGGCCCAAATAGCTAGTCAATACATTTACCAAGTCTTAATCTGCAATCTACCGGAAAATGGTGATATCCAACAACTCCAATCATTACCAAATCAAAATACTTAATTTATGTCTTTATTTGGCTCGTTTCACCATAAGTTTCACATTTAAATACTAGTATGAAAAATTATAATTATTTTGACAAGATACTTAACCCGTCTTGCGAGGTCGAATATGTGTTTTCGTTGAGAACTTTTTGGGAAATGGTGTTCATATTAAAATAATAGTTTTATATTTCCTTCGTAAAATGGCGTTGCTTCAACATGCGCCTTATGCTGGGCTTGCAGGACTGGGGCTTGGTGGCCCAAATGGATTAGATCCACCGCAAAACATATATTCCACATATTTCATCGCCATATTGTTCTCCGAGTTCATCCCCATAATTTCTTCCACGACCTCCATGGGGCAGTCCGTTTGCTTGTTGAATTCTTTGACCATACAGGACAAACCCATAGTAACAGATTTCTTAACGCTAAAGAAAAATCATGTAAAAATGAATACAGTTGAAAAAGATCCAAAAAGAAAAAAAAATAGTTTTGTGATCCACCTAAGAAGTGAGTGAAATTCTCTATGTTTTATATCTTTCCAAAAATACACAGAAAATATTAATATTCAATTCAATTCAATTCAATTCTAGTGATTATTTAAAAGGTGGATTGTTGGTTTCATCTAGAATGGAGCATCTTTTCTAGTTTTTGAAGATTGACTCTATTTTGCTTCTCATTATTGGTAGGATTGCAAGTAAGCGCACTTACAATTGGCAAACATCCAGATCCAAATAGCTTCTAAATTCATTTTTCTTTATAATTGAACTAACACACGTCTTTATCATTCCGGGCAAAAGTACAGAAGCCCTCAAACAAGACGGAGGTGGCCGTCGATGTTGGCCTCTGTAAGCTATAAAAGAAAAACGAAGTTACTCAAACACTGTCCGAGTATAGTAGTCTGTAGCTTGTGTGCTTATTTCCTATAGCTTTAGTAATACGCAGGTAGGAATCAAACAGCACTCTCCCGTAAAATCCGCACGACCTGGTAAAAATCGTGATATTTTGGCAAATTATTTAAATACGAAGGCCATGAAGAAGGCTCAATCTTTTAAGTCCATCGACTTAGCTCATTCGTGATAGTATATTCAGCTAGTGGAATGTGTTTCACATCATCCGTGTTTTTAGGAACATTCTTGTCTAGGTTGTTCGTGAGACTGCACACAAATTCTCCCCCTGACATCTCAATTGTGTGACAGTTTATGAAGAAACTTGAGATAAGCTGACATCAGCCATGCAGCCATGGTAGACGACTGAATGTATGGGATTCAACTTAATAGACCATAATGGATAGGACAATTCTTGTAAATTCGTCGCATTATTGCAATTTTGTTCCAACTGCATTTTATGCACTTTTGAGATAAAAGCTTTTGTAGTTTGCTTGAACGTATTTTGATGAATGATTATTATATTGTTCAGAAAAAATAACTTAGTAGCATAAATGCGGTGATTTTTTTTATCAAATTCAAAACCTTTTCATGACTTAAAATGAAAAATAATCAAAAACAATGAAATATATAACATGATAGAGTGTTAATGGCTCTTGGTTTAAGGTAAAAAATTAAAAGTGGGAAGTGGAATTTTGTCTATCTCCATAGAAATATATATTTCTTGGTTCAGTTTTGTTCCAACTGAATGTATATCTATGACATAAAACTAATTTGAACCAAAACATAGATCATTTGTATGGAGATAGCACAAAATTGCTCTAAAAACTAGGTCTGTGATACAGATGCAACAAAATGGACACTGGATTTGATTTCTTTTTGGGTCATACTGTGTAGAATCCATGGTCACCTGAAAAAGTCAAATTAATCAATAAGAACAAATTTGCAATACTGCGACGTTATTGTGATTAAGATGCAGTTTTATGACCTACCTGTATGTGATTTTTACCAGAGAGTGCGATTTTTACCGGAGAGTGCTGTTTGATTCCTACTCACAGTTGTTATTCGGTCGTTCTGTTGTATAACCACTCACAAAGGCACATCCCAACATAGCACTAAATGTAAATAAATAATTTTTAAATAATCAGAGCAAAAAAGATTAGATTTAAACGTTTTGCCAATATACAAAATGCAGAGGCGTAGTTAGGTTCTATAATTTTAGCAGGCGAGGTAAAAATTATCAGACGCGGCTGATTTAGAATGTTAACACTTTGTTGTAGATGAAAAAATGTCTGAAAAATATATTTATTTGGAATTTTGGTGAAACAATTGCCTCGTCTGATAATGTCTGGCGACGTGTCATGAAATGTATCAAAAGAGTCACTCCTCTTACCTGAGTATCAGAATCAACTTCATATTCTTTGAATCGTCTAGCTTCTAGTTTTCATCTGAGCTTTCAACTGGTTTGCAACTTAGATATTTATATTGACATTGGCTAATTCAGAAAAATGGACATTTACCAAATTGCCTGTATAAATCATATTTGATCGCCTTATTTCCTTTTTATAAATGAGTGAGAAATATTGGTCCGGTTAATTTTCGGCATTAGTTTGCCATTTAATACTCAAAATCGTAAACATATCAGAGCCTCTATTTATCTAAAGATATAGTAGAGACTGGATCCCGCGCGCAATATCCCGTCTCTGATCTTGTTCATCAAATCAAACAAGCAATCAATCATTACACAATTATAAAGCTATTAACTTGGCAGACATTTGTGACAGTATAGATCCCATTCGCATAACTTTTTATTTATGATGGAAACTATCTCACAAAATAAGTATTTGGACAGTTCACTCCCTCGAAAAAGTTTGTAATCGGAAGAACCTTCCGGACAATGATTTGAAGCAGGTTTCTATTGAGCAATTTTAACAAGTTTCTCCGTTTTGTAATTGGGAAATAAGGTCAAGCTTCAAACAGAGACAGACTTCTCTCTACATGCTATCTTATGGAGACTTCCGTTTGTGAACCCAGTGAGGAAATAGGATGATCCTATCGTACGGTACTACTAATTCCTTTGTACAAAGTACAAAAAAACTCAAAACTTCACTGGATCAACTGTTTTTTGTTAAAAGGATGATCAATGTTTTTCAATACCTATGCAATCAACCTAATTTTCAGGGTTCACAGGTACAATCTACGAATGACAAAATAACATCAAATTCACCTCATTTTCCCGAGTTGATGTTTCTTATGATTATGAAATATTTCGTAGATGTTGTTAACATGTGGGGTTTGATTAAGCCTAAGATGTGTTTGTGTATGATATCAACAAAAGGCAAATTCATCTTTCTCTATGCGATTATATTATTTCCGATCTTTTGTAGTTAAGAAACAAAATTGAGAATCAAATATTGAAATGCTTTGATACGCTTTCCAATGGAAACCGCCGATTGCCAAACTTATGGAGGGGGGTGTACATTGATAAATAAGGCAGTCAGTCCTTGTTAATGGATCAAGCAATTAACATGAAAAACTCAGCTATACCAAAGATTGCCTTTTTGATGAAAATGAGGTTAACGTCATGGAAAGTGTTTATTTTGTACGTAGTGAATGCCTCTCATTATCAGAGAGTACGATGAACTTACCTCCATTTTAGATGAAGTCGCAGCCGTGTCAATGCCTACATGTACCATCAATGATGGGGCCAATGATCTCTGGTCCCTTCCTGGTTATAATTATAAAGACAAAATGGATGGTCTTCCATCGAAGTAATATTTTTATTTCCATTACTTTCATGAAGAAGGAGGTTGATTTGTATCCAATTATTTTACCCGTATGTTAATAGCCCGGGTTAATAGTAGCATCCGGTTATTATAAAGCTAGTCAGTCACGAGCAAATATATCCAGCAGCTCCGATAATCGAGTGAGAATCCATGGAATCCCTCACTTCAGCAACCAGGACGTCATATGGTGAACTTCATAACGTCTCTTGGAACATTGTAGCTTATTAACGTCCTGGTTGCTGAAGTGAGGAATTCTCACTCGATTATTGGAGCCATTTGGAGCCATTGGACGTATACAGTCGCTTTTCAATAACCGAATGTTACTAATAACATACGGGTAAAAAATTTAGATAAAATTTTTAAATCGACCCATTTCTTGGGGAAAATGATGAAATGAAATGTTTCCGATGGAAATTCATCAATTCCGTTACAAAGATTTAACGTCTGTATAACAGGTGGGGACCAGTGATGGTAGCAGGCTGCGCTATTGATCGGGATCCATTCATGATGTCATGATGTCTAAATTCATCTTATCTAAAAAATCCCAAAATTAAAAAATGATAAATAATATAAGTACAATCCTAATATATATATTACAATAAACGGTAATAAAATGACGCCTTGTCGATCTCATAGGCTCAAAAGTGAACCGTGCTTTTCATGACCTCCTCGTCCTCGCACAACTGAAGTGGAAGTGACAACCCCAGTGTGTGTACTTGACATATATATCAATGATTAGTATAAGATACAGTGTATATAATGTTGTATTGTAAAACATTAACATGAAGGTACCGATCAAAGTGCAAGACTATGTACACTAGGCCGTTTAAAACACATTGACCTGCTTTAGAGAAAGTGGGTTTCATTGCTCTACAAAGCAGGTGACGAGAAAGACTTATTAAGATGGCACGCATGCCGTTGCTGTTCTTGCGAGGAAGCTACTATGAATGTGGTTTCCAAAAGGTGAGCTCATGAGTTTGCATATAACCTGCGGTCTACTATTTTCACAGGGATATACTAACCCGGGTGTACTACATGTAGTTACGCAGAACCGCTAAATAAAACACGGCGTACAGTATGGTTCAACGAGAGAGAGAGAGAGAGAGGAAATCGGAAATCAGACTTTTTTTCTTTGCACAAATATGATTCGACACATTTTAATGATAAGACGTTTCTAAGGAAATACTAGCTACTAAACATAATGGTTTGTGACATATGTAGTTATTCGGTAGTCTATACCTCGAAAAAACGAGGTTCATCATTTCCTGCCCAAAGGGAATAAAATAATCATTCAAACAATCTTGTTCGGTAATGACATGCATGTACATGTTTTTAATGGCCAATTATTACATTTTAATATTCTTCTAAAATCATTTTGCTCCCTCACATTGACAAGAGTTATTTATATAATTTTTTAGAAAATCAAATAAAGGAAGACGTACCTGTTTGAAGTGAAAATTATTTTAATCGGTATTCAGACTATCTTGGATAATGATTACTAGAAGCCTTTAATATATACGTTAAAAAGTTATAATGGAAAAACAATCATTCCGAGTGTTCAACTTCGTATTTATTAGAACATTAGAGACTTGTGACGAATTTCGTGCAGAAGCACGAATGACATTGTCATTGCATTTGCTGGTTCAATTTATCTGCGAATAAGCAGCTTTTCTGATAAAAAATATATTGTGTGAAAATCTTGAAAGGAGAGGTATCGATATGGTGAACTGAACTCAACAATGTTTTCCTCTTAAACCAATTATTGAAAACATTCTGTAAAAAACACGGTCCTTTATGTAATGTTGACCGATTGGCAACAATTTAATGCAAAAATTATTTATATATATTTTATATAACTGTTTTTGTTAACATTTTTTTGTTTTTTAGTGCAATTGTTTTTGCTCCTTTCTACCAATTCTTGAGAATGAAATAAAATGTCTTTCCGAACCTTGTTGGAACAAAATAGCATATACAACATTTTCTTAGACCTCTCAATATTGTAGTTATACAAATGAAATTTTGGTTGATTTTACAATAAGTATGCAAAAACTTCAAACAAAACCCCCCCAAAATAGATAAAAATTAAGTTCAACCATTAACAAGATACATTTTTAAAATCAACCAAACTTTCCTTTGTACAATTACAATATTGAGAGACCTAAATACGTTGTGTTTATGTTGTTTTGTTCCAATGAGAGGTTTGGATAGATGTTTCATTTCATTCCGAAGATATGTCTGATACCAAGAGCAAAAGAAGTATCTGATGTGTTTTCTAAAACAATATAGAGAAAAGTATATAAATATATTTGAAATTATCATCCAAAGGATGAGAAAAGATTGAACCCCTCAACATGCAGCAAGGGCCATACGAGAATTTCCATTAAAGCTGTTTTTGAACGTCTGATCTTCCTGTATAAAAACATTGTGACTTTTTCTCTGGGTTAACTTGAAGAACCATTTTTATGTTAATCCCAAGCAGAGAGACCTAGAATAACTTGATTCAGGCCAATATCTAAAGAAAAATTCGAAACATTCCACCAGAAACATTATCAAATGTGATGGACAATGTAGTAGTAAAGGATGCACATTGTCATCGAACTATGAGAGGTTACATTGGACATGTGGTATAAAAAGGGCATATTAAAGCATATTAAAAAGGCAAGACTGAACTAAACATTTTGTATTAGGTAGAAAACTTAAATGCTTTGATTATATGACTATGCAAAAATATCTGAAAATATTTCTTGGTTAAGTTTATCTTTACTGTTCATATAATTTTGGGTACATTTTTGAGACACATCCTTTCACTGGTACTCACCTAGTTACGCTGACGATACGTCAGCGTAACAAGATGGAAGAACTTCCGGGCTTCGTTTTGGTAAGATATTTTTATTTCAACGTAACAAAAGCGATGGACTAAATATGTGAATTGCGTCTTCGTTAAAGCGGCCTAGCATGATTTTTAGTGATTTTTGACAATATTCCTGATCTTTTTGTCCAAGAAAAATATCTTACCTTTCTGGGAAGGCAGGATATGTCCCCTAACTCTGTGGATAAACAGAGAATTCTCAATTTAAGTTGAGAATTTATTTTCAGATAATTTACCACAGAAATTCCTTGTGCTCCATTACACAACTTTTGATGACATCACACAAATTGGAGAATTCCCTCCCAGTTCAAATTATTCCTTAGATTTATCAAATTAATATTCATATTATGGGATTAAGGGACATTGCCACGTTGCCCAAACCCAATAGTTAGAAAAAGGAGGATCTAGAGTCCATGAGAAAAGCAAATATACTGCTGTAAGCTACTTAGTTATTGTGGTAACATGACTAGAATTAGAAATCACAGATTTACAGCTTTCTCTTACTTTTTGCCAGGTAAGAAGCATGTATTTTATCCTTGAATTGTGATTCTTAATGACCTATAACATGTCTCGGCCTTCATGTATATGTATTTATTACCCAGTGATTGATTTAGTAACTCAATGGGTAGAAATAGGTCCAAATAACATTGCTAAGCAGCTTTAATATACCAAACATAGAACCGCCTGCATATTCTCAAACTAGACTATCTTCCTTAAGTTTGAGCCAAATTATTGTCCACAACTTGATTTATAAGTGGTGTAGAATCGAGAAATAAAAATATCTTACCGAAAACGAAACCAGGCAGTTCTTCCATCTTGTTACGCTGATGTATCGGGTTATATACGTATATTTTGCAAGTGGATCCAAGAGACCAAGTTGGCTAGTCAATTATTTTGCAGGGGTGGCATGATACACACATTTCAATTTTGTATATAGTGAATTCCCAGCGATTGATTTCAGTACAGTAAAACTGTCATAATGAACACCTCTTTGGTGAAGATCTATGCCCAGTGAACACATGAGTCTACTCTATTGAACACCTGTGTGTAAACGAACACCAATTCCCAGCCAGTGATTTCAGTAACTTATATAGAGGGGATTGTACCTACATTAAGACCTGTCTAATCCGAGGGACCAGCTAAAAGTGTTCGGATTAGGAGGTGTTCACATTGTGAGGTTTTGCATTTGCAAGATTTTGGATTTTGAAGAAATAGGAACAAATTCTCATTAAATATTTATAGTTCTTTTGACTACATATATTTATGGCATTACAGTGACATGAAAATCCGATTCAAATGAATTGAGTCATCCTAGAAAGCCCCACCATGAGTGAGATCATTCAAGGTTTTTTCAAATATTTGAGCAATTTTGTATGGAACATGTGATATTTTGTGAAAAGTGTTCAGATTAGATAGATTAATTTATCAAACATTACCGTTCACTGTTCAAATTGGGAGGTGTTCACATTTCAAGGTTTTTTAACATTTGAGTCAATGGGAGGAAAAAGGGACCAAAAATGTTCAAATTAGGAAGTGTTCGGATTAGCCAAGTGTTCAAATATACAGGTTTTACTGTACTACAATTGTTTCCAATCTTTTGGAGGAAAGTGTACATCATTCAAGAGAAATGACAGGTGACACACTGGCATGGGAACTGGTCATATCAGATGTTCCCACGCTTTACTTCCAGAAGAGGTCATTTCCCAGGATTATAGATGAACCATTGGCCAATCAATGATATAGTTTACATAAGAGAAGTATGACTGTATGAATTCTGGGATATTCCTGTACGTTTTGTTGAGACAGATGAGAATTAAGTAACCCTTTGCAAAATTGATCAAAACTGCCTCCAATCACATATCTGCCATCCTTACCGTATTTTTACGAGAATCTACCGTAAATTTTTCGTTTTTCCGTAAAAATGACAAACTAACGTAAAAAATTTACCATTTTTTCCCGTAAATCATCCGTAAAAATCTACCGTATTTTTACCGAAATCTACCGTGAAATACATTATTATAATTCAATTTTTTCTATAAGAACGGCCGTAAAATATACCATAAGTATTTGGAAATCTACCTTATTTCTGCTGAAATTAACAGTATTTTTGTTCAAACTACCGTAAAATCTACCGTAAAAACTACCGCATTTTACAAACTCTTCCGCAAAACTACAGTTTTTCAAAAATCTACCGTTAAACTACCACATTTTTTCAAAATCTACCGTAAAACTACCACATTTTCAAAAACTTCCAAAAAAGTAGTTTTTTCAAAAATCTACCGCAAAAACTACCGAATTGTTTTCAAAATCTACCGCAATTTTGTCGAAAAATTCTGCAAAAACTACCGCATTTTGAAAAGATCTACCACAAAAATACCACAATTAAAAAAAACTACCGCAAATTTTTGGTCTTAGGTTGGCAGGTATGAATAAGACAATGTGAATATGTGAAAATTGATACATGTATATCCTGCCACCCCTGCAAAATAATGGATTTGCCCACTTGGTCTCTTGGATCCACTTGTAAAATATATATAACCGATGTATCGTCAGCGTAACTAGGTGAGTACCAGTGCACACATGATTGTTTTACGTGGTAAAGCAAAACAGGTATAGTGTGAGATGGGTACAAGTGCAGCTAGTTCTATACCTCATCGTCCGATCCAAATAATCACTAGCCGATTACAATATAAACTATCATTAAACAAGAATGACTTTGAACTTAGTTGTAAGATTGGTCAGCCACTGTGCTACAAAACATCACCACAATACGTTTTCAGAAAAAATCACATACATACATGGGTGTAGCTAGGCATATCTCATTTTTATTTTTCAGAATACTTACACTTGTAGGGGAAAAATTGGCATGATTCTGAAAATATTCCTTTTAATATTGCTATATGTGCTCTGTTAAAATGCAGTGGAAGAAAATCGAATACGAAACTTCCTCCGACATTTTGAACAACGGAATTGTACATTTTATTTCAAAATATTTTGGCTGAAAACTTTTGATCCTGACTACGGCCCAGTTATGTGATTGGTTTTATGGTTCCAAGCTGCATAAACGCTGTTATACCATAAGCCCAGACACCAGAATCTTGTCAATCTTCAACAGCGAAGAACGCAATAATAGTACATCTAAAATAAATATTTCAAAAAGTCATGTATGTCTAGATATAATATTTGAAATCTGAAGGTAAAAGTGCATCTAAAATGTGGTTTCAAAAATTATTTATTATCAACTTTGAAATCTAATTGGACAGATAACATTTTCTTTTACAGAGGACATATTTAATTTGCATAACTATTAGATACACAAGGGTGATATGAAAATTAATCTACTAAGACTGATGAGGATTCAAGTTTTAGGATACTTTCTACTACACCTGCCATGCTATCTGGGTTATTCGATCGATGTACAGTGTGTAAAAACAAACTGGAGGGCAGAATCGACTAAACATAAATTAAGTACAATGTCTTACTTGCAGGGCGAATTCTTCAAGAGTGAAATTCAAACTTACTATGAAGAGCTAGAGCCCAAGATGTCTGCCATGTTAGAGTTCTATCATTCCAAAAAGGGGCGAGATTTCTGCGAGGGTATGATGAAAGCTGCTCGTGAAAAATACCCGCAATATGTTGATGAAAATAAAGGTATTGCCGATGGAGCAGGTATCACTGAAGAAAAGGTAAATATTTGAACACTGTAACTAAAAAGAACAATGTTTTTTCGACTGTAATATATCTCATTAAAAATTTACACTGGGAAAATTATTCAGAAATTTAGGCTTACAAGAGTACATGTATAATATCTTTCCCTGGAACAATGCCTCAAAGGAAGGATTCTAGTGGATTAAATCCTGGAAGATGAAGTATTTATTTTCTGAGTTCAAAATTAAGTATTGAGATTCACAATCCTGAAAAGTCTATGAAATACGATCTGAACAAGGTAAATGATTTTTGGCGATAAATGCCGTGTAAATAAAGTAAAACTACTATATAAAAATTACAGGCCATTATGTCAATTCTATGGAGCCAACTTGATGATGCACTTGGCTTCGCGGAGAAAGAGATTTTTGCGGCATATGGGAAAAGCATAGCTGCTCAGGGATGTTCAGACATTTTCGTTAACAACGGCAAAGAGGTGAGGAGTTCTAACAGAAATGCTAATTACCTGATGTAAACTGCATGACGTACATTGTAACATAAGGGCGTGTTAACTGTAAAACTATGGAATAAGAATACAACTGTCGATGTACAAGAAACTGTTCATGCAACTGTGACACAGGATGTCGATGTTGAATTATATTCCTTTTTGACACCAAATCCATTCCGAAGCTGTTTATGCTAAGATGAGCTTTGTCGACTAGTGTATGAATACATGAGAAATTGTTGATTTACTTGATATTTTAAGTATTCAGCCAACATTATACATTGTAGAAAATCATTGGCCACAACAACGACTGGGCTTCCAATATGAAACCATTTATCCAACTAGCCTACTATGCAGAGTACACTCTGCCAAATGGAGATGTAGTGCCACCACAGACATTATTAGCAATAGGGGGCCATCCAGGTAACCATAGATACATTTTTAAATGTCTATGGATTTTAATACTATCATAAAGCATTGCAGAAGTCTATATTATTGCATATGATTTGTACTTCTTATTTCAATTCAGATGATATTTGGAAATTTATGATGAAGAAGCAAGAGACTGATTTTTCAATTTTTCTATTATGATATAATTCATGCTATATTGTGGATATTGAAGTATATTGAATAAGGATATATCAGTATGGGCATTTTCAATCTGAGTCTCTGAAGTCCACGGGGTGTCGCTCTATCTATGAAAGACATCAACCAATATGTTACTTTTCTAGCTAGAAACATCTTACTAAGTTGGGTGACATGTCAGGGATTTGCTGGTACCATAGATGCAGTGGTATTCTGTGCCAATAGAGCAGGAATAAATGAAAAACTCTGTAATTACTCACGTTGCACTTTTTAGCATGTTTTTCATATATTTACAGATTATTTGCTTAACGTCATTGCTTTGGTGGCTTTTGAATCGGTATACACATTTTGATCAAAGTGCAGAGCATCACGGATGAGTAGACTCACATGATTTTAATAATTTTATTATTTCAGCTTTTTCCCGATCTTATGGAGAAAATTAAAATATGCATATTTCGCCTTATTTTCATTTTAGCAAATAATAATTATCCAACCCACGTTAATCAATACGGGATGTGTGGGGATATTAACGTCTTGGTGTTCCCAAATGATGAACTGCCACCTAAGAAGTCAAGTAAATGAAAATAGCAATTCTAAGTAGTAACTGGTGCTTATATAAGAATAAATAATGAGCAGACTATTAAATACTGGGGAACATTCAATCGAACATCGGTGTAAAATAATTCAATCAAATAATCTTCTCTCCTACGATTTCTTTCAACTGGGATATTTTTCAGAAAAGGGGATGTTCTTGCAAGATGTAATGGTCCCTCATTGTTTATTTAGTAGGTTGTTGTGTAATATTGCATGTGTTCAAGGGTTTAAATGCCAAGCTTCCCTGCCTCTGAAACCAGTGCCGAATATGTTTACTGATAATCCGGAAAAAGAATTCACACATAATTAAGCATTCTATCTAGATATCATTTTCTTACAAATCAGAACACAGTATATCCATGCTATATTTTAATACAGAGCATGGTCATTATGAAATTGGCAGTGAAATTGATTAAGAAACGCGATAACAGAGTCACTGTCGCATCACCTTATCCCTTACACCTATTCTCGGGCCTTTTCTATCTTAGCTTGATTCATCAACTGCAAACAGGATTTAGTGCTTTTGAAAAGGAATGTGCACCATATTCAGTTGCCAATCAGATATTTAATTAAAGTATATCCCCTTGCTTCAGTCAATCATTTGCCTTTTGGTTTCCCAATGTTCTTTTGTTACTCTTTGTGTTACTCTTGTATATCAACTCCTGTTCTTGGTGCCTATTTTCTTCTCATTTGGTAATTTCAAATAATATTTGTGTTATTTCAGCAAGAATGCAAGGGAGTTCCTGGGCCTCTGGCATGGGCATGGTGTCCTCACTTAACGATCTTGCAATCCTTGATAATAAACTATGGTCCGGCGTTAAACTACGTGTGTAGCGACACAACCATTGCTCTACTCCTCTCTATATATTATCACCGTGTCTTACAGGGTGAGCCCAAAAACATGGATTTAAAATCAGATTTGGCGCAATTAAACCTTGTTCAATGTTCTTTCATTCTACTAGGTTTCACTGATCTAGTTTTAACTTTTAATGGTAACGATTTTATGGCCATAAACATGCTTATCAAAATCATGTGAACATATATACATAATAGTGATAAAGACACCCCATATGACTTATCACTAAAAATATTAAAATGGCATATTGTTATGTTGTTAATCTTATATGGGAAATTGTTTTAATACCAAATGTACATTTATCATTGATGTAACAATGTGTCATCAAAATATAAGTTATTTCAAAGATATTGTCCACACTTAGGCTACAACTCTAGAAGCATGGGCACAGTGCGAGGGGTTTCGTAGAGCTCGTGCTACCCTCCCCCCCCCATTCGACTCGAACCCTCCTTTCGTTATGAAACTAACCCCTGGCTGGGAATAACCCCCTTTTCTGAAAGAGCAACAAAATACAGGCCGGGAACAAACCACGCTCTGTTTTGGCTCGAACAATTAAAAGCACGTTTCTTTTAGCTATTTGATGATGCACGTACTATATTCTGCTGTAATTTGATTGGTTTATTAAAACCATTTCGGTCGTGCAAACAGTCCCCCCACCCTCCGATTCGACTTGACCCTCTTTCTTAAAAAACGAGCCCCCGGGTTGAACCCCTATGTTAAATCCTGGCTATGCCCCGTCAGAATCATCAGAGTTGAAACAAAAGACAAGAAGGGTGATTATACATTACACAAAATATTTCTGAGCGTGATCCGGTACTTTCAAATTTGCCTCCATAGACTGGCATTTTTCAGGATGTTTATGTATAGCCATCACACCGTGATCATTTGAAATAGACCAATGAAGTTCAATAGAATTTAAGAATATTTTACAAGGTTCTGTCAAGCCAAATATGAATTTAAAACCATGCTGGATGACTTGTTTATTAACATTTGTTTGGGCTACCTTTTTTGGCTCACCCTGTATCATATATTAGTATAGTATACTGTAGTTAAGGCCAGTATTTCTTTATTAAATTTCATTGCTCTTTACTTGCGAAGGTATTAGTAAGTTATATTTATTAGATTTAAATCAATGATAACTGATCTTGCTTCCTTGCATACTTATTACCCTTTATCCTATATGTTAGCTCTGTACTCGTATTTGTATTACTATTGTTCCTAGACCTATGGTTATAAAGTTCTTGTCTATGAAAAAAACTCGCAACAGTTTACCATCTACTTTGACTCAAACCATGGTTATGTACCCCTGGTTAAAACTGCATCATTCGAACCTTTAGCTAATTGTCTGCTTTGGCACACAACATTTTTACAAGCCCTGTATTCTTATTTATGCATGCCTATGGCTATACCTGCATTTTTGTTTTCTGCTCAGGAGTCAGGACATTTCTACAAGCCTTGTTTTCTGAATATATGACTATTGCTATTCTTGAACACATTGAGCACGTGCATAAAACAAGTCCTAAGAAGGCGCTTATCCTAATTTCATGTATCATTTCAGCCGAACTTGACTTCTCAGCTTATGTTAACCAACATGGAATGAGTGGTGATATTGAGGCACTGGTTTTCTTGAACGGTGAATCACATCCAAAATCACGTAAATCATATGTTAAAGTATTATTACAGATGGAGAGTGTGATATATTGAAATAAAACCTCAAGGAAAAAATGTCATACGAGGCAGAACCGAGTGTTATATTTCTTCCGAGAGGTCATATATTTGATCACACTCTTGTTTTTGTAATAATGCATTTATCACATGAAAACAGCTGAAATTTTCGAAATTCTGGAAATTGTAATCGTTTGCATCATTTTGAATGTCTCTTTTTGTATTACTGTTATCTATGTTTTGCAAAAGATTATTAATTAATATCGTCCTCTATACTGTTTTAACATACTAAAACGAGAGAAATGTTGTTTATTTCCACATCGGCTGCCTAAATTCCCCTTATCATGGCCCACTATTGCTCAATTCTAGTCTGTTATAATTCCAAACAATCAAACCGAACAATCAAGAAGTTTTATCTTTATTGATGAAAAATAAGAAACTCCAAGTACAAAATAATTCATAGCTGTCTTGATAATGAAAGTACATTTAACATTTATCCTGGCAAATGCATGCTATCAGTAGAGCAACATTGTCTTCATGCCATTATGTGATATTGAGATGAAATATCATATGGCTCATCCGGGCTTTTTAACATTATCACATAATACACCCGGGAACTTCACATAGGACATACGAGAATTTAATGTGTCACCATTAGATTGAATCATTAACTGATAATCTGACGTGATTTGGTACATAAAGCCGGTTTGTAAAAACTTATATTTTCATCAGCGGGCAGATATAGCTTTACGTCCCGCTCCGAGCGGGCAGATATAGTATATCTGCCCGCTACGTCATAATCGCTGTTCCCGTATTGGTTCTTTTTTGTAACGTTCGCATACTGTAAACGAAAATCCGACTACGGACAAGAATACAAAACTGGACATGAATATTTTAAAATAATTCCACGGTTGGTTGCAAAGTTTCTGAACTTTGGCCAATTGAACAATGTGGTTGGTATGGTATGGTATGATCATCTTATAGTCGGTTCAGGATATTTGGATTATCCCTTGGCCAATATGATATATCTACCCTCGGGACCTACGGCCCTCGGGCAGATATATTATATTGGCCTCGGGATAATCCCAATATCCTGAACCTCATATAGGATAATCTCTATTTATTGCCTACACGATTCTGGAATATAAGTCGATCCATCATTGGTTAGTTATACTTTGGTATTTAAAAGAATGGACTTTACCAATTGATATTTGACATTGGTCCTCTAAAGAATTGATAATGACGTCAGCCATTTTCTTATTCATGCAAACCGAGCGTTCTTTAAAGAAAAGATAATGACATCTGCCAGTTCATCACTGAACGATTCTTAGTGTGATATGACATCAGTCTGATATGACGTGATAATGACATCAGCCAGTTCCCCTTATTCATACATTTGTGTGTTCTGTTCCACATTAGCTTTGTATTTCTACATATCTATGTATTTATTTATCTATTTATTTATTTTATGTAAGTCGATTGTTATTGCTGTGTATGGTCACAACCACATTCTTTCAACCTCTTAACGTCTGCTTTGACAATACCATTTTTATGAGCTATGGCTTTACCTGTCTATGATTATACCTGCATTCTCTCAGCCTTTTACCCAATCGTTTGCTTTGGCAAAATATATTTTTACAAGCCCTGCATTTTTTATTTGTACATGGTTACACCTCTCTGGGGTTACACATGCATGCTTCCAACCTTTCGGTCAACCAACTGCTTTGTCACAAGATATTTCTATGAGCCCAATATTCTGAATAGATGACTATTACTACTCTTGATCACATTTAGCACTCATTTTATATGAAGCTGTCATCTCCATATATTTATATAATTTCAGCCATGCTTGAGCTCCCAGCTCATGTAAACCAACATGGAATGTGTGGTGATATTGAGGACCTAGTTTTCTTAAACGGTGAATTACATCCAAAATCACGTAAATCAGATAATCATTTTATTGCTTATCTGATTATCGAATATGATATAAGTCGATCTATCATTGGTATATTCGTTATACTTTGGTATCTAAGAGAATGGACTAAATCTTAAAGAATGGACCAAATATTCAACAAAGAATAAATAATGATATCAATCAGGTTCGCTTATTCACGTAACCTGGCGTTGTTCAAAATAAATCAATAATGGCTTCAGCCATACAGTTTCCCTTATTCATGCAACAATTCCCACGTCATAGCAATCCTTTGCATTTTGGACTTCTTCTAGCTTTTCAATTATCCATACATTGCATTGCGCATTAGTATATAACTAATATATATAATATAAAACTATAATAAGAATAATTATGTACAGGGTGCTCAAAAACTTGAAACCCTGCATTATCCTCACATCTTTGTGATTGGAAGAAATTACTCCCTGATATTTGACACATTGTAACATCATTCAATTTCCTACCAGTATGCCATATTTCATGACCAACCAGATTGATAGTCACAATGTTACAGCGTTTTGAACAACATGCATGTTTCGGGTTTGGCCATCATCGTTCTGTGGGCAAATCTGCACAGTTGTCAATGACCCTAATGCATTTGTCAGCAGATAAGACCTGCATAACACGAATGATCTCACTTTTGAGGTCTGCAATTGTCCTGGGGTCAATCTTATACACTCTGTCTTTGCCGTATCCCCAGTCCCCACAGGTAGGAACATTTTGGACGACCTGTGCAGCTTTGCCTACAGAGCAATAGTGGCAATTGGAGCATGTTCTTTCAAGTGCTGTAACATTATCACAACCAGTCTATGGTTATGAAATATACATGATATGAAGTAGTCTGATAGGACATTGAAAAATGTACAAATGTGTAAAATATCAGGGAGTTAATTCATAAAATGACAAAGATATGAGGAAATAGCCTAAGGGATTCCATTTCTTTGACCACCCTGTAATATGATACTTAATTTAAACATTACTACATTAAGTTTAATATTTGTAGTCTTTAAAACAATACCAAATTATACACAAATCCAGAGAAAGGCGAAGTTTTCAAACTATTATTATATTTTCATGACAATCTAAATTAAGAATGAAACATGTGAGACATTTTGTTGGTAGGCACGAGCTCTACTTAAGTATCTACCTTATGTCGCTTTTTAACCTTTTTATCATTATTCAACTACATTATTGATAATTGATTTGCAGCATCGTTTATACTGAATCGTGCCATGCAGCATGCCAAGGACAAGGACGATCTAGTGAGGATCTTAACAGACCAGGGCAATGGTATTGGATGGGGCTGGACGTTCTGGTAAGATAAGCATGCACGTTCCTCATACTGTTACAAAGCCTATGCATTACTTGGTCGTTGTTGCCATTGTGGCCTATATTCGATGTAATAAGAGAATCAACTAAACACTTTGAGAAAAAATGAACATGTAAGAACACAACTATCCATGAGGAAAACAAAGCTCCAATATCCAATTGCAAAGCTTTGAACTCACACAGAAATTAATGTCTTAATCTCCTACCCGACAATTATCATAATTCAACAATACCATTAATAGAAATGCACATCAAATGGAAAAGAATCGAAAAGGCAGTTTCTAGTTTATCAATCAGAGAGTGCGTCTCTGTTGCAAAAATGAAGGATGCTATGAATATCAAAATGTACAAGATGCAATACAAAGTCAATTATACAGTAATTGTCATATGCGAGTTCATCCATGATATACAAGTAATTCGAATAATTTATCATACCTAATAAAAAATATGTTGTTCTTATAGTGTGAATGCAGGCTTTATTGATGACCCTAATTTATACAATGTTGAGGTTGGCCCAAGCACTGAAGCGAAGTCATCTGTAAGCGTGGTCACTATCTCACAAGATAAAATCATCGAAAAGGAAACGGCAGGTGTATATTCACACTTCAACCAGTAAGTTACTATGTAAGGAATTTGACTCGTCTCTGTAGGATTTGATTTATAGTTTTCCAGCGTACTAGCAAGGGAGATTGGCAACTACCATTACTAACCAATCCTTGTGCTTAAAGTTCATTCAGTGCGTTCAAAAACGGAAATGTTGGCGTAAAAGCGAATAGGTCATTCAGAGGATGATTACATGTATAGTTAGACATAATGAGAATGAAATAATTTTTGATGAAAGGGCATATGTGTATCTATATTCCAGTGTAAAACACTTACCTGACAAAGGTATACGGGTTCAACTCTGTGATATCCGTCAAGCCAGATTTGATGAATTACCAACTCCACATGATTTGGAAAGTGTTTTGAATATAATGGGAGATGAAAATCATGATGATTTCCCGATATATAGAGCAAATGGAGAAGGCCATCTGTGGTTCACGAACTGGTCATGTAAGTATTTTAAAAGTTATATTGTGGTGCAGTGCTACTAGCAATTTGTATAATACTTGCTGTTCGATATCATTACAAGAAAAGATCATAAGCTAGAAATTAAAATGTGTGATGGCTTCATAGCATCTACTATTTACTTTAGATCTTTTTCTCAAAACATTTTATCCTGGTGCAAAAATTCTGACGCAGTGCTAGGATAACACACTTTCCAAATCACTTTATCCCGGCGTTACAAAGAATCCTGGGATAAAGTGTTTTGAAAATGTATTTATCCCAGTTATCCACTGAATCGGCGGGATAAACTGTTTTCTAAAGGCACACTTTCCCGCCACCCCTATAAAATGCTAGGGTAGTGGTTTTGAGAAAACTCTTTATCCCTCTTTAATGTCTCAGAAAGTTGCTGGGATCGGGATAGATAATCAGATCTACAAAAATGAATGGAAATTATAGTTATTTCTTCAATATTTCAGCTGTAATGGACTTCAACGGGAAAAGGGTGCTGGTTTACAAAGACAATCCCAAAACATCGGAACCAATCGCTATCCTGCCATTTTCTTTAGTAATGGATGATAAACCATAATATAAGGGAAATGAGTGGCACTAATACGTAATACACACCCATTTTCTGTTAAAATTATCGACACCTTCGACAAAGACACATGTAGGCCTACGTGAACACTATTTAGAAATCATACTTTTTTACTACCCAATGGCGCTACAGAACAGCATTATCAAAAGTAAAATGACTGTAATACAAGCCATTGAATTCGGTTAAAATTCTCATTTATTTAAAAGTTTTGCTTGTCATAATAATATAAGTCTTACTACATACTTGTATCAACTGCAAAATTGTACAACAAATACAATATAGCATAATTTTACGGAAGTAGTTGTGGCATTATGGTACAGTACAGTAAAATTTCTTCCTTACCAAACAGTTTTACATAAATTGCACCGAACACTGTCTAAGAGGATCTAAAGATACTGCTGTGTACCCCGTTGATGCTTTGTGAATTGATCAAACTGTTTATTTTAACAGCACTGCTGCACTTACAAAAGCCAAGTTTCTCCAAACCTCTCTTAAAATCAAGATGCATGATATTGTAAATGAAGAAATTGAAGAAGCTATTACAGATACCAAGCCACATTACGATGTATTCTGCTAAAGGGGGCATCGGGGTGCCGGACACGGCTTGATGTGTATTCCAAATGATGCAAGGCATCCACGTGATTGAGAAAACGAGTACAATACCACATATAACCTTCGCTGCTTTAATGTTGCTTCTCCGGGTTGATGCATTTAGGCGTCGACGTCTACTTCCACGCAAGTCCAACTCAGAGAGGCGTTTACAGGTCCTGTTAGCCTTAATTGCTGTCAAAAGAATTATCATATTGAAGATATATACGCAGATAAGAGCAGGGGCCAAGTACGAGGCGATGATAACCATCATGGTGCTATTCTCTAAACTTGGAAGTCCGCATATTCTCTCATTGTGGCTGTACTGGTAAGTATCCAGGCCAAATAACGGGAGAGAGAACACTATGGTAGCAGAAAGCCAACTGAATACAATCAGTGATACGTATATCCTGGGAGACATAATCACTCCATATTTCAGGGGTTCAATCAATGATAAACACCTATCAAAACTCAAAACGCATATCGACCATATTGAAGATCCGACACAGATACATAGACAAGCGCCTAATATCTTGCACAGACATGATCCTAAGGGCCAATCATGGTGAAATGCAGAGTATATGGTGAAGGGTACACACAAACCGACACCTAAATCCGCCACAGAGAGTGACATCATAAAATACCCGGATGGATTCTGGAGTTTGGTTGTCTTGGCGATGACAACTATGATAATAACATTGACCACAATGATAATTATTCCAACGATGGCGTGGAATGTTGCCTTTGCATATTGTAACAAAATGGATCCTTCTTGCTCGTCCAAATACGACGCATTTAGATTCCTTGAAGATTCGTAAATGGATGACGAATTTAAATCTGTTTTGTCCATAATAAAACACATAGTTGCTACTTATATTCGAAATAACTGCAAGATTAATTCATCATACAAAAGTCATTGGTTGCAAAAATAGTATGATTTAGATCTTCCATTGTACCTTCCATTCATTTGAGATCTCTTTTTGATATCTAGCAATACTTAATTCTCTCTAAATGTGTAACCACAAGAGAGTAATAAACATGTTCATCCATTTAGAAATAACGATCTTTGATTTAGTTAAATATAATGAAAATCACAAACATAGCAGCGCTCCAAAAAGTGCTTTAATTAATATAATACAATTCACTCACAAGTGATCACTCTCCGAAACGTAAATACTTTTTGTTGCACCAAATATATCTGTGCTCTCTATCACGTTGTTCTTCCCGTTGCTATGTGTTGCAAATGGCTAGAATCATGTTGTTGATAGTGTTAAAAGAAACCTTTTACGTTGGTACTTCATCAAAGTCTAACAGTAAGAATATACAGTCGGATATCTATCAGACATTTTAAGTAAACTAGAATTGTATAAAGCACTTTCCCACGATTACATCAGATTGCGTCAGTTCATAAATCTTCAGTAGATGCACGACTTCATTCTAGAATACGTAAATGAAATATGAAATATCAAAGCAACGGATAACAATCTAAAAAGTACTTCGAAGAAATCCGAATATTAGGAATGCAAGTGGCCATAAATCTAAGGAATGTAATTAAAACTGACATCCCATGTAGATTAATAACGTATTGTTGTAGGTGTATATTGATATCAAGTGTTCCTTTCTGACTGGTTTTACTTGGAATTGAATTTGTGTAGAACTTGCACTCAACCTGTAGCCATCGCAATGAGAGTTTGATCATAATGTACGTGTCGTGTTTCATATTCTACAGCCTTATCATTCAACTGGTTTGTACCGAATATATAAATGTTGATAAATCATATAGTGCAGTATGCATTTATAATCAGTTTATCAGTCAACGGTATATAATGGTTATATATAATTATATCATATTTCCATTAGATGACAAGATATAAAACTGTTTTCAAGAAAAAGAAAATAGCAACAGTGGCGTAGCCAATTGCAAGAAAAAAGCGATGAGGCGGAAATATTTCCAAAGCTGTTCAACTAAAGCAACAAGGCAAGCGCGTTTGTGTGATGAGATCAATTCAAAATTCGAAATTGAATCAAAAATTGATGGCCTAAGATTAAAAATTGTAGAAATATACAAATAATGTACAACTGAACATTGATATAGGAATATTTCCGAAAGGATGTTAAAAGTTTTACCTCGTCTGACTCATCCTGGTTACGCAAGAGAGCAAGAAGTAAGAAAACCGCGCGGATCCGGGGGGAGGGGCATGGGACCGCCCCCCCCCCCTCCTGCCCCCTTGGGCCCAAACATTCTGTAGGGCCTTAATTAGTGGGCTTTTTTGGCATTACTTGGTCTTTTTGGGGCAATTTTAGGCCAAATTATCAATAAATGGCCTTAATCTTTGGACTGAGGGGCTCAAAAAATTTCATTCTGATTTGAAATGTGGCCTCCCCTTTCCTGGCTTCTGGATCCGCCTGTGACATGTATATGACAGGCAACGGTTTACTCTATAAGGCTATATCTATATCTTGTTTGTAATGTAAAAATCAGAATACCAATTTCTGCTTTGTTCATTCCAAATCAAATCAGTTCAATTTTCAACATACAGAAGTTGTTTATTGATTACAATGATTTATTAGTTTACATTGACAGTTAACATTCCTCTAGTTCAATCCGTTGTCAAAAGTGGGGGGTATTATATTAGAAAAGCCTTATCGAACAAACGTTGAATGATACTTTTAGCAGTTTAGTTCGATTTTGAAGTATCGAATGGAGCAAAATGAAAACAAAAAATGTTTCAACAGAAATCTAATGATTTTACTTTCAGGTAATGTCACGGACAGCAAATGTCGTGAACTACAATATTACCTACATGTATATTGTATGTTAAGTCACATCCAGTAAATATTACATCATATAGTAAATCATAAGTATATGACTGTATTGACTGAAAAAATGTAATACTATTAAAATGTACTCTAAATATGGAAATTCAATACATTTGCAATGTAATATTTTCAAAACAATACATCCATTCAATCCAATACAACAAAATACAATACAATACAATACAATACATGCAAAACGATACAGTACAACACAACACAATACAACACAACACAGTTCAGTACATTGCAATATTTACAATACAATAAATCCAATACAACAAAATATAATATAATACAACACAACACAATACAATAAAATACAGTACAATACAATTCAATTCAATATTTACAATACAATACAATACAATACAATACAGTACAATACAATTTAATACAATGCAATATTTACAATATAATACAATACAATACAATGCAATGCAATGCAATGCAATACTTACAATACAATACAATCAAATACAACATTTACAATTCAATACAATACAGTACAATTCAATACAATGCAATATTTACAATACAATACAATTCAATATAATGCAATACAATACAATTCAATACAATCCAATACAATACAATTCAATACAATGCAATATTTAAATACAATACGATACACACTACAATACAACACAATTCAATACAATACAACATTTACAATTCAATACAATACAGTACAATTCAATACAATGCAATATTTACAATACAATACAATTCAATATAATGTAATACAATACAATACAATTCAATACAATCCAATACAATACAATTCAATACAATGCAATATTTACAATACAATACAATATAATGCAATACAATACAATTCAATACAATACAATACAATTCAATACAATGCAATATTTAAAAACAATACGATACACACTACAATACAACACAATACAATACAATATTTACAAATCAATACATCCACACAACTGACCTTGAATGAGTCTTACATAGGAATACAAGATATTTACAATTTCTATCTTTTGACACAAGTGACGATTGGAGATTTATCTAAACATTGTATACAAACTGGCAATAAGATACTTGACTATATCCAAGTTATCAACGTTTATAGTTCGATTATCTAATTTCAATTTGCACTAAGCCTGATAGATTTGAAATTGAGTACTATTTTGTACTATTTTATCTGAGCCCATTGTAAGAACCTACGGCAAATGTATATACTATAAGAACAACAACAGGAAGCCAAACACAAGCAAACAAGTCTGTAAGTAAAATTAGCAAATATTAGTCATAAATATTATGAGATTTAGATTCAAAATGAACCACATTAAACGAAATGGCAATAAAGTTTTGATTAACATTCGAATTGTAAATGAAACGATCCTTTGTTTGCTTTTGTATTTTGTAAGCTATTGTTAGATTGGACATTATTTAGATTGGACATTAGTTTGGGCCAATATATGAATATTTAACAATCGAAAGTATGAGAAAAGAAAAACACAATAAAGATTTAGAGTCAATTGTCAGCCCTAATCCAGGATGTAGCTTTGTAATAAATCTTCAAGTGAAAGATCGCTAGAATGGTGAAATTAAATGTGACATGCAACTTATATAAGGTAACTTAGTCTTTTACATTATAAAAGCAAATGTTATTGTTTGACTCTATAAGGTAAATTTTCAATTTCTGCATCAGATTCAGTGACGCCTTATAAACATCTGGGATCGAATTCAAATCGGTAAGATAGCACAGCGTTCTGATTTCTGTTCTATCAAGCACTTTTAAAACATAAAATCGGTTTATCAAAATATATGTTAATGTTGTAATATCATGAATAGGTTGCTGAATATCTCATGACTACGTTCGCATGACTACGAGTACGTTCGCATGATTATGTTCTGTAGATGTGTATGAATACGTTCTATTGTTACACTTTTGTTCCGTACAAAGTTGCAGATATAACTATAAGTTTGGATATTAATGGTGGTACAATGCCTTACACAGAAGACCACGACACTGAAAACAACAACGCAAAAGACATGGTTAATGATAAAGCGGAGAAGGAACGAAGTGAACATGTAAGTAAGATCAGATGACATAGATCAATGGTGCCCATTATATGAGGGGATATTAAGGGCACCGCGTGCTTCCATCAAGTTACGAATTCCATTCCAAAATGTTTTGATCGTACTAGTTAGTTCAAGTCGTTTCCGTCTTATCACTTTTGAAGATGAACAAATGGGAAAATGAAAATAAAGGCAAGAGGCTTGGCGAAAGGCTTGCTATATTAATACCAAATAAGGAAATGTTGAAGAATCATGAAATTAGAGCTCTTCGCATTGTCATTGAAACATGAACAAATTCCTTTTCGTAGGCATGAATTTATGTAATTTTTTTTTTTAATTTATCGGAATCTTCCTCTCTGAGGATAAATGACAATAGAACTATTGAATCAATTGAAACTTAATATAAGATAAGAGTTTCAATTTATTAGCTTGGCTCTCCAAAGTGTCCATGTATAACTATTTGCAGTTGATAGTATTCACTTTGTTTATTTGTTCGATGTTTGACATGCAGGACATACAATGTCATGATAGGGAGCTAATCCATCTTGCTACGCTGTCCAGGGGCGTAGGAAGGTGTAAATTTAACACTGCGCAATCAATTAAGGACATACGTCAAATCTTATATATTGTATTGTATTGTTTTATTTCCTTCATATTGAAAATTTACAACATTTAATTAACAGTTATTTACATTATATTAAAATAAAATTAAAATAAGAAAACTATTTATAGTATAATACTATGTACAAATGTGTAGCAACAGCAACGACGTACGGTGTGTAATGATAACGCCATCTATACGTTTTTTTAATTTATTTGTTTAGATAAAGCATATTGCAAGTTACAAGGAAGAGAAAAGACAGTTGATATCGGAGATTGAGAACCTGGAAAATGTATTGAACAAACTCAGGTAAGATCAATAACATCATATGTTTCTAATTAATTATATTATAATAATTATAATTATAAATTGTGTAAGGAATTACAGTTACAAAAAAGCAAGTGACAATTTACACTTCCTCCGAGTGTAGTATTTCAGTTATCACTGAGTATATTTTTACGAAAAATGGCGGCCATTTTGAATTGAGTGGCAATATTGAAAAATCCTTTCCAAGCAGAAGTTCTATCCCCATAAGGCATCAGCCTATAAAATTTGAAACCAATCCGTCAACCGGTATTTGAGTTATTGCCCGTCAGACGAACGAATGAACGGACTGACGGCTTTTCTATATCCCTCTGGAACTACGTTCGTTGGGTTACTAATACACAGTTTGATCTTTTCTAGTTTTGAAATAACAGATCGACGCAGATTTGAAAGGGAAATAATTTTTCTTCTAAAATTTGAAAATAATTTAATCATATTAATTTATAAAAAAAACTCACAAATGAACTAATTTAAAATAAACAAACTGAAAAGAACGATAAGACTTTTTAAATTATTTTTAAATTTGGAATACACATCCGAGTAATAGATAAATTATACATAAAGATGATTAGAGTAGAACATGTACAATAACTTGCTTACTGCCAAACTTTATCTACATTAGTCCCTGATCTGGACCCTCTGAAAAAATGTTTTGTTGTCCGGTACTTTCCCACATAAAATGATTGTACCGTTTGAAAGAACAGACTTCCCTCTTAAAGAAAACACCTCTTCTATTGATGTAAACAGGGGCAAAAGGCACCAAAACGGGGTTAGACAAGGTGGCATTCTGAAGTCTCACTTTCTTGTCATCACGATTCCAGGTAAACCATCAGAAGGATTTACTTCAAATTTTCATACATGATACACAGTAAGAAGTTCTAGAGCTGATTAACTTTGCGGCGGCCATCTTGCATTCTGGTGGCCATCTTGGAATTTTTTTCAGATAAATATTGTCATCGCGATTCCACAAAAACCACATAACAGATGTACTTCAAATGTTCACACATGTTACATGGTAAAAAGTCCTAGACCTCATTATCATTTCGGTGGCCATCTTGCATTCTGGCAGCCATCTTGGAAGTTTTAAGATAAATCTTGTCATCACGATTTCAGGAAATCCAAACGGATTTAATTCAAATTTCCACACATGTTACATGGTATGAAGTTCTAGAGCTGATTAACTTTTCAGTGGCCATCTTGCATTCTGGCAGCCATTTTGGAAGGTTTATAGATAAATCTTGTCATCACGATTCCAGAAAAACCACTTCACAGTTTTACTTTGAATTTTCACACATGTTACATGGTATGAAGTTCTAGAGCTGACTAACTTTTCGGTGGCCATGTTGCATTCCGTCGGCCATCTTGGAAGTTTTTAGATAAATCTTGTCATCACGATTCCATGAAAACCACGTAACAGTTTTACTTCAAATTTTCACACATGTTACATGGTAAGAAGTTATAGAGCTGTTTAACTTTCCGATAGCCATCTTGCATTCTGGCGGCCATCTTGGAAGTTTGTAGATAAATCTTGTCATCACGATTCCAGAAAAACCACTTCACAGATTTGCTTCAAATTTTCACACTTTATACATTTACATTCACAATGGTCCCTTCCTGGTATATTTTTTTAGGTTTTATGACTGTTAAATTCTATAGTCTAGTTAACACCACTTTATAAACAGGTTTATTATTACTGGTGTAACTAACACAACGAAAAAAATATAGTTAATTTATTTGATTTTATATAACATGAAATTATTTTTTCTTTTCGATAAAACATTGCTTATTAGAAATATATTTAGTTGAAAACTTAGAGTAAACAATCAGTTCTTCTATCACAAAGTTTATTTTGGTTCAGTAGATTTTTCTATACATTATTTTAATGTCACCACCACTAGTGATTGGGTGACATATTGTAATAGCTTCGAACGTTTATCTTGACACTGTTCAGTAGTTAATGTGTACTGTATACTTAACAAGGTGTGGTGACATTTTGCATGTTTCTGCATCGTCACTACTATTGAAAGCTTATGTTGATGTTGTAGCAGTGTTTTTTAAGTTCTTTTTGTTGGTACAATTAGTTTCCAAACCCTATACTTATATCGATCTGACACACAGTTTTAGTGCAGGTTTAAGTGATTTTTGTTGATTATTAAACGCAAAGAGCACATGTGTCTCGAACTCGCAACATTGTGGATACAGAGCCCATTCACAATGTTTAACATGCTGGTGCTCTGAACCAGCTCGTTAGTTAATATCTGACTAAGAGACAGCTTGCTTTCCCGATGAAGAAACGTTATCTGCAGCTTTTATGAGTACTATAGTATCTACAACTATTTTTGATCTTATGAGTATTGGATATCATTATTTTCAATTATTCTTCAACATATATTTTAATGACTTCAGTAAGAATGGAATGTCCCTCGGAGTTGTGGTCGTTGATGAGAAATTGGTCATTGAACGGTGTGGATGCTGTTTATTCCCATATTAGATTATTGTCTTGGGATATTCAGGTTTGATTTTTGTTTGCCAGTTTTACACTTTACAGTTTGCTTTTCCCACTAGGTTACTTTACACTTTTTTCCTTTCTCATTTGTCATTTTTGTTTATATTTAGTAAGGATATGATACGCAGGTCTCTCCTTCTGTGTGATCACCTGTCCAGAAGATAATTCAACTGCATGAAGAACATTTCGTTGACATGATGCACAGTGAAAGGTTTTCCACACATTTACATTTTCGTTTAAAAGAGCTTTAATTCCGTTATATACTCAGATCAAGGCCAATTTAGCATACATTTCGCTCTCAAAATCGCTGTGCAATAATGGATTTCAAAGAAATGTTTGACGTTTTCAATAATCTTTTTTCTTTTTGATGAAATGTAGTTATTTATTCTAAAAATCAATCGATGTCATACACAAAATGCATTTGAGTGGTATAAAGTACAGAAGCAGAGTAAAAATATGTATTTTAGAATATCACCATGTGTTACCCCTAGCGCCTCTTGCCCATGTTTCTATCTATATAAAACATGATATCATATACCAAATATGCATTTATGTCAAATTATGTGGTTTAAAATACAGAAAAATAGATAACATTCTCCTTTGAATACCACCTTATGTAACACCCCACTTTACTGCCTTTTGCCCCTGTTTATATCAATATAAAAGGTAGCATGTAACCTTCCTTGTAACATGTGTAAAAGTTTCAAGAAAATCAGTAAAGTGGTTTTCCTGGAATCACAATGACAAGATTTATCCAAAAAAACTTCCAAGATGGCCGCCAGAATGCAAGATGGCCACCGAAAGGTTAATTAGCTCTAGAACTTCTTACCATGTAATATGAGTGAAAATTTGAAGTAAATCCGTTTGGTTTTCCTGAAATCGTGATGACAAGATTTATCTTTAAACTTCCAAGATGGCTGCCAGAATGCAAGATGGCCACCGAAAAAATAATGAGGTCTAGAACTTTTTACCATGTTACATGTGTGAACATTTGAAGTACATCTGTTATGTGGTTTTTGTGGAATCGCGATGACAATATTTATCTGAAAAAAAAACCAAGATGGCCGCCAGAATGCAAGATGGCCGCCACAAAGTTAATCAGCTCTAGAACTTCTTACCATGTAACATGTGTGAAAATTTGAAGTAAATCCGTCTAATGGTTTACCTGGAATCTTGATGACAAGAAAGTGAGACTTCAGAATGCCACCTTGTCTAACCCCGTTTTGGTGCCTTTTGCCCCTGTTTACATCAATAGAAGAGGTGTTTTCTTTAAGAGGGAAGTCTGTTCTTTCAAACGGTACAAGCATTTTATGTGGGAAAGTACCGGACAACAAAACCCCTTTTCTAGAGCCCTTTTGGAAATCAGATCGGGGACTACATGTAGTTATGTACCTTTATTTTAAGTCAGATGAGTTTAAGCCCCTTTTAAGCTTAATTAATAGAAATCTGTTTATTCACAAAGGCTTCTACAAAATTGTTCTAGCTCTAGTTATTTGGCGATAAGGTTTTAAACAGGACTAGACTCTAGATTCTCGCTTTTCGTCCTTCTGAAGTGGGACGATCGTAGAGTCAGTCTTAAGAGACACACTAGATCCTCTCCGTAACAGTAGTTTCAGTCTATTTCTGAATCCCTCTCTAGCAACACAATACACGATGAAGTTAACGGACGAGTTCAAGATGATCGAATACTTGAAGAGAGAACGGAGGATCTTTATAGATTCCCTACTCAGGTTTAGCGGAGCGTCCATTTCATCTGAAATCACTAAAATTAGTTTAAAGATATTTCTAGGAATAAGGCAAATGAGAAATATGATCGCTATGGCAACTGATATTTTGGTAAACGTTCTATTGCTGTCCTTTCTAGATTTGTTCCTGCTTTGAATTGATGTTTCGTCGAACTTTATTATCTTGCGCATGCTGTATATAATTCTCCCATTGGCATAGATAACAAATAATACCGGTCCAATGTAAACCAGTAGTGACTGTGCGATCAATTCATATCCAATAAGATAATAGTCAGACTTTTCCCACCCACATGTAAGTTTCTTCTTCTTTTGATTTTCTGGAATTGTACAGGCGAAAAATCGTGGCATATTATAAACTACGCATAAAAGACTAAGAGCTAACGTTACTCTTTTCATAACTTGAATCCTGCATACTCGGGTGAGATAAAACGGGTGACAGATTCCGATGAAACGCTCAAACGTAATTAGAACAATCATCCAAATGCCAAGAGTGCGGAATATAAGAGTTAAGATTCTCCATATTCGCTCGGCCAACTTTCTTGATAAATAAGCGGGCTTGGCTTCCCCTTTGCAAGCCATCCCTGGCCAATGACACGTCCTGTAGTACACGATATACGATCCATTGCATATCAAATGAAGCGTGTCAATCACAGCTAGAGCACATAACAAGAAAATCGTAATATTAACTTGAATTTTGTTCATTTTTTTCAATATGAAAATTGATGCAATATTCCCTAGTACTCCGAGGAGACAAGTAGTTGGTGACAGAACAATATCCAAGGCAATGATGGCGGCGTTGTGTCCGGACTTTGAGTGAGATACATTCATGTTACACTTGTAAATTTACTTAGTTCTCTACAATTTATGTTTTTTCTCATGCAGTCTTTTGAAGTCTTATCACTTATATTACACTAAAGTGTTATATGGATTCCTGATTGGAGTCATTTATTTTAATACTGCCCATTATCGTAATTAATGGATTTCCGTATATTTTGGATAATTCAGGTAAATTCCAAGAGTACATGTACACTGTTAAAAATCTAATAGTTTTAGGCTACTTTTACCAGAGATAAATTAAATTCTAATTAATTCAATTTATTTATTAAGCCAAACTCAAACATATGGTATTAGGCACAACCATTATACAAGACAGTAGCAAAAGCTCAAAGTATTTCCCATTTGAAAAAGGAATGTATGCAAAATAAAAATTCGAATTGGAGATCGAAAGTGCAATGTAATTTGCATTTCATGTACTCTTACCATTTACTTTCCTAATCATCCTATTTTCCAATGTTAATAATTATTTGATCCATGATTTACGATGATAAACGTTTCCTTGTAAGAGAATTGGGTGTCTGTTTTCTGCTCATCCCGCTTGGTACAACTGTGTTAATGGATGCGGTATTGTCTTTATTAAACATCCCAACTAATAGCTCGTTCGGTCAATTCAGTAATAAGCAAAAGCTCAAATAACTGCGCAATTTTAGAGTTGCATTCACCATATCATGGGGAAGTACATTAATTAGGATTCTTCATGATCGCCTGTTAGTGTGTGCTCATATGTCGCTTCATTACCAAAACAACCTAAACGTGAACGGAAAATATTTAAGCGATGCATTTGTATGACCAATAGACCATACAGCTCAATATTGATATATGTTGGCGTTTCGATTATATATGCTAGCTTAAACTACCTATAATATATCTAAATGTATCTAACACTAATAAAATATATTCAGGTTGGAGTTTGAAGACATGCCCACTGCCAATGAGTTGTCCAGGAGAAGACAGGCCTGGATAGATGAGGAGAGAGATATAGCAAAGAAAGAAGATGAACTTGTTGCAAAGCAGAAAGGACTGGAGGAATATGAAAAGGAGGTAAACAGGAAATTGGGTGATGGGCAACATTTGAAAAACAAAACTACAAACAATAATGAGGCAGTATTCCAAATATAAGAATTGTTTGTTGTATCAACAAATTCAACACCCAGTGATACCGTGGTATATGGTGAAAAAGTTCTTTTTAGTATTGCATGATGACTATCGGGAGAAGCATTTTGGGAAGATGTAAGATGATTTATATTTTATATTCATCCTAGTTCTTAGTATTCTAGTACGTATCCTTTCCTAGTACTCCAATACTCCGAATGGTTCTGAATAAAGTATCTGATTTTTAAAGTCTGATCTAATCCCTGCAAAGAAGCATGTAACTCAGACTTTATAGGTGAACGCAATGACTAATTAATAAAGATCAGAAAATATGGATATAAAGTAATTGCTATTCATTTTACAATGCCAAATATCAGATTACCTATCTATTATGAAAACCATCATGACAAACGATCTCGTTTATCTGAACGTTGTGGTAAATGAACATACAATATATATGACCAATAAACTAAATAGCACCTCCCATCCGGAATTTCTAAAGGGAACGTGAGACTATAAATGTTTTATGTCAAATGAAAGACTCACTCAGTTTACTAATAGCATTAACGATGTTTTAATTTGAGATAATACAATGACGGATTCTCGTAATATGAATAAGAGGAATGTTAAGTTATCTGACTGACAATAGTTCCCTTGCTATTGAGGTATGAAATAAAACATGGCCTACATCGATTTCAGATATACCAGCACATAGTGTCTCTTTTACGTTGACATTAGCTATTTCATCACTTTTGTAGTTCAGTTTCTCCTCGTCACGACAACCAAATATTACAGTATTTTTTAATCTGCATTTGGGCGGCATGGTGACATTTAATATGTGTACTGAAAGCCAGTTCTTGTATATGGTTTAAAAAAGGAAAGATTAGGCAACATCTCTCTAGATAAATAAATAAGCCTTATATTAAGTTCATTTCAGATTGAAGTGATTGAGGGATACCTAAATAGACGTCAAAAGATGTGTGATCACAAGGAGCAAGACCTGAAAACCTTAGATGACCAACTGACAGAATTAAATGATGAGCTACAACAATACAGAGAAGATCTCAAGAGACAAGGAGTTGATGTGGACAGTCCTAGTGGGAAAGCAAAGCTAAACTGGTCAGAACTAAACACCTCATTACATTAATACTAATTTTAGACACATTATTTTAGTACATTATATACATGTATATTCTGATTCCTAATGATAAACTGTTTACTTATGTTATAGTTGAGCCTATTTCATGAAAATAATGGAAGTATATATGGTGTGGCTATTAATATTCAATCCAAGTATTATTTTAGGGAGTATTTGCGTGGAAAAGTGATTGACAGAGAAAAACAATTAGAAACAACTATTAAAAACATCAGGAGTGAAAACATTGCCAACTGTGCATTGATTGCAGTCAAAGACCAAACAATTAATGATTTAAAAAATAAAGTAAGTGGTTGTGAGTCATCTGTGTACATAAAACATTGTAACACACAAATGATTTTTAAGTGTTTGGTAAGATAAAAACTATGAGATGTCAAAAGTAATTTGCCAAGATCTAAAGTCAGTGAATGGAGACTCACCGTTAAGAGCCTCAATTTTTGGGATAATTGGAGATATGTTAATTTTCAAGAGAAATATATAATTAATTTTATAAATATATTTTACATTTTCTGATGGAGGGGTTAATTTACATATCAGCCTACATTATTACACTTTTTGGACAATGAAATATTGACCTTGTTCCAAAAGACATTTTATTATTTTCAGATGAAAGAAACTGATGAGCTCCTAGGAAAACACGAAATTAAAATCAAACAACTGGAATCCAGGCTCACATTAGCAATTCATGAAAATAACCAACAGACTGGATTAGATTCAAATTGCACAAACAATACTCCACAATCCAGCATTTCAATGAACAGTAGAAAACATTCATCATCCAGACTGCCATCTATTGGCAACCAAAGTCCTCAAGCATCAACGTATCAAGTGCCAAACTTTGATGAAAAGAAACCAACAAATATGCGAAGGCCACTGAGAATATCTTTACCGAATCCTCCAGAGGAAACAGTACATGCCAATCCTGACCCACCAATGGGAACAAGACACAAAAATTTAGTGTCCGAGGGTAGAGAATTGAGAAAATCAAACTCAATGCCCTCAAAACATCGAAGAAGAACGGTTGGACATCTTGAATTTGAGAGAAGCAGGTCTAAAAGTCAAACTGACCATCACATGAAGATTGATGCTGAGAAACATTCCAGTACAACTTGTATTGTAATGTAAGTTGTATATTTGCAAGACGCCATGACGCAGATGTAATGTGCATGTTACACATGAGAGCCAAACACAGATTAACCTGTTTTAGTTAAAATGGGTGATATTCAAAAATATATCTTTGAATTAGCACATGAAATATTAATCATGAAAAATAAATGTAATATTGATAAAATATATGATTTATTGCTTTGGATACATTTTGCAAGGGTATCACTATTAGCAGTACATACATTTACGTAACTGTCCCTACAGTATATAAGCATTATGCTATCATTCCATATTCAAATAATCCAGATTCAGCATACTGTACAGTATGTGGCTGTTCAGTAGTTGTTCTGCATATTGCCTCATCTGTGTATCACCCATTAGCCAGGCAACCAAGTCTTTCTTGTTAAGAATAAAATGAACAATAAGGCCTTGCATCTCCATACAATTTAAACCTGACCATAATGTTGATTTAAAATATCTGTGTGTTCAATTTAAAGTCAATGTTTGTCCAGTATCTGATCCAGGGGCATATCTAACAGGAGAGGACACCTGAAAGTAAAGACAGGAACATATAATGATGTGTGTCTGAAAATATGGCGAGAATATGTATACAGGATAGGCCTATAGCTACTTCAATCGGACTTGTAGAACCCCAATTTTTCTCTACCCAAGTAGATAAGGGGGGTACAGGGGCTAAATGCAAAACTAATTCAATATCTTATGCTACATCATTTATGCCAATTCTATGTGTTGATTTTGCTCATCACTAAATACTCTACCATGTCTATACAGACCTTCCCCTTCCCATAAAGTGAGAACCTCAGTTCATAGTTATTAGACTAACAAATCAACTCACCTCTGTAGAAGGGCAGTGGGTTCAGAGTGCTGTAAGAGAACAGTCTTCCACATCTTCTCTATACAGGGCACCTGCCACAACTCTGGTATACCAGACAGGCAAACCAATACATGCTCTAAGTACTGCATCTAGATTGAAACAAATGTACATGTATAAACGTTTTTGTAATTACATTTTTGGTGAATTACTACTGCCTGGTAATTTTAAATCTTAAATCATATCAAAGAGATAATACTCCACTTACACACTGTAATACTAACTCAACCTAAATATATTAGTTATATTATTTAAATATATATGGAATATAATGTTGTATGGTAGTAGAATACAGGCACCAACCATGTTGAAGGCCAATAGCTGTTGAAGAACTCCATTCCACAAATGAACATCATATATTTTGTAGTCTAAGCACAGATCTGACACCAGTCTGACAGCACTTCTCTCATGGCTATGGTTCCTCCAGATTCCTACATACAAAATTCACATTAAAACAATACAACTCATTGTTTTCAATTCTACAATAAAGGAAAAATCTGCATGCACCTACTGTAATGCCAATCACAAAAAATGTTGGGGGCTTGGTGGTGACAAAAATAGCCTAATACCAAAGTACTACAATTTGAGTTCAATCTACATATTCTTAAATTAAAGTAGTTGTAACAGTGAAGTTTTATGAACAATGAACTGTACTGTAGTACTGTACTGTACTGTACTGTACTGTATCATTCACTTTACCTCTAACAAGTCCCTCCTTGTTGCATTTGGCAAATGATGCTTTCGTGTGGTTCAGGCGTAATTTCTCAAGCTCCACAAGGTATAACAGACATTTCATTTCATTCCTAAAAACACAAAAATAAACATTACAACATTTTAGCAAGGGAAAGTGTAATGAGAAATCTGGCTATGTGAATCACTAATATTTAGGATGGACAGTTGATACTGATGTTCTGTGGAAATAAGAGTCCAGTGAATATAAATGTCATACTATGATTCCACTGATATAAATTTCATCATTTACAGGAGCAATTAGTATGATCTGTAATTTCATTTTGACAAGCATAATTACCCAATTTATTAATTCTTGGATGGTGATTATACTCACTTGATTTTGTCAATTGGGTTTTTATATATCTGCTCTATAGTCTCAAGGTCAGCAATGTTAAACAAACAGCGTAAAGCTCTCACTCGACACATGTTTGTGGTCCTACTGCTATTTTCCTGGAATTCAATATTGCATAAATGTACTACAATTCTTAAACAACTTGGAAAATGGAACTTGATGAAATTGGTGAAGTTCAAGCTTTGGAGAATATATATACGAGTCATAATAGTACTAGATCCAATAAAATATTTATTTGATAAAAAAGGGTTTCAAAATGAATTCTAAACTACAGCTGTCATTGCCACCTATGATTAATATGATGTCTCTTCAAATATACTCACTAATCTAAAATACAATAGTGGAATGGCCAGGATATGGAATCATAACAAGGAAGGCAAAGGAGGATAATATCCTGTTCAGTTAACTTTAATTCTTCCATTGTAATAGAAAAACTGTGTATTATAAGTAAATATTTTTCTGTAAAAGTCAATAACAACTCATTTTAGCTAAGCTCTTGGTACCAGATGTAACCCAGAAAATACACTAGATAAAACTTATAAACAAGGCACAGACGTGAACAATATCGTACCTAAAACACAGCAGTGTGACAGTGAAGAATTTAGGACGGAAAATACAAAATGGCCACCTTAAAATTTACCCAGAATGCCCAAAGACTAATCAGTTCTTAACTTTGATACGTGGAAACATCCCTGAAAATTTCAGATGAATCCATCAAATGGTTTGGCTGGAAACCTGTAGACAAGTCTTGAAAGTGAAGATTTTAGGACGGAAAATCCAAAATGGCCACCTTAAAATTTACCCAGAATGCCCAAAAACTAATCAGTTCTTAACTTTGATATGTAGAAACATCCCTGTAAATTTCAAATGAATCCTTCAAATGGTTTGGCTGGAAACCTGTAGACAAGTCTTGAAAGTGAAGATTTTAGGACGGAAAATCCAAAATGGCCACCTTAAATTTTACTCAGAATGCCAAAAAAACTAATCAGTTCTTAACTTTGATACGTAAAAACATCCCTGAAAATTTCAGATGAATCCGTCAAATGGTTTGGCTGGAAACCTGTAGACAATTCTTGAAAGTGAAGATTTTAGGACGGAAAATCCAAAATGGCCACCTTAAAATTTACCCAGAATGCCCAAAAACTAATCAGTTCTTTACTTTGATACGTAGAAACATTCCTGAAAATTTCAGATGAATCTGTCAAATGGTTTGGCTGGAAACCTGTAGACAAGCTGAAAAGTGAGACGCCGCCCGCCCGCCCACCCGCCAAGCTGACTACAATATCATACCTTTATTAGGTACGATAAAAAGACTCGAGAAAAAGAATAACACAGAATGTAAAGAAGAATGGTAAAAACACAAAAATGGTAAAAACACATTTATGTCTTAAATCTTAACTAAATTATACTTACTTTAAAGGTAAAGTTGAGTAGAAAAAGGACATTATCCTGCACTTTACCATACTTTAGGACATAGGTAACCCTGAAACAATAACTCAATAGCTTAATATGCAAGAACTCAAGAGTCAAATACTCAGTTTTATAGGTAGCACCTAGGAAAATATGTTTTTATATACAAGTACATGAATGTTCTCACTTGTCAACTTTGAAAGGACGGATGAGAGTTACCAGTATAAAGAATGTCTTTTTGTTTTTTAGTGATATTTTGAACAGTAATGTATCTTTGAATAATAAATCTGTATATTTATGACTTTTTAAGTGCGGTCCATGTTTCTGCGAAATCCTATTTAAAATAGAGCATAATAGAAAGGTTTGCTTATATTTATACTCAAGCTAGAAAAAATAATAACAAAGCATTAACATGCAAAATTTCACCACCTGCCATTTGTTATATACGCTGAAATCCAAACACCGACTGCCCCCACAAAACTCCATCTACAAAAAAGTTGGGGATGATAGCAATTGTGGTTGTGACATAAAAACAAGCTGTACTGAACTTTTGAGTTGGTCTTACCTTCGTAAATTCTTTTCATCTTCAGACATTTCCCCAGTATTTTCAGCAACAGCCTCTTCTACATCAAAATTCACATTGAATGTCATTGTCTGGAAAAAGGAATTTGTTCAGAATGATGAGAATGATTGGAGATTTATAACATAATTAATTTCTTGAGAGAACATATTAAAGGAATATCCTATGATTTTGCGATATAACATATCTACAGGGCGTATAAAAAAAACGCAACAAGTAGTTATCTCGTAATAAAAATCACAAAACTAGTAATGACTACATCAATTTCATTTAATGTATCATAAAGCCACGTTTCTCCTCTTTGCAATGATATGTCATTCATTCACATGTGGTAATGGTTGGGTGAGAAATCCTTCCATTTGCACAGTGGGTCAAAATCTGCTCTGGATCAAGTTTTACATATTGCAAAAAACAGTGCAAGGGCTTAGTGCCAATGGAAGTCCCCCCGACTTGAATTGTTGTGAGTTTTTCTTTTGAAGCATCTCAGGAGCATCTGTGCTCACAATTCCTTCACCAGATATTGCAAAACCTCAAGAAAGAATTGCCCGTGGGCTGTTTTTCTCTGCTTTAACCCACAGATGACGTGGACAGATGAGCGCATATTTATGTGCAAGGAAGTGGTGGCAATTTGGAGGGGTATAGGATGTATTCTTGCAAGAGTATGAGTATGAACACTTTAATGTCTATGCCACACCTGTCACACCTTCTTCCAATAGCCCCTATGCCCCTTGTACTGACTTTTGCAATGTTTGAAACTTGAGTCAGAGCTGAATTTTGCCCCACTTTGCAAAATTAATGATGTTTCGGCCAGCCATGACTCCCTGTGAATGAATGATATTCCATTGCAAAGAGGAGTAATTTGGCAATATGATATTCCACTATCCTGGGATGCCCAGGTATTAACCTTAATAGAATGAAATACTTTCATCATATTCAGCCCTCTTTGTGTCCTTTTCAAGCTTCATTTACAAAGGATAGTAGCTACAATAAGCCTCTTGGCTTTTGGGTACCATCTCTTTGTCACTAATGTAATAATGCTGAATACAAATATGTATTTGCAAGAGCCAAAGGGAAAACACTAAAACGTTTTACTGGCACTGGGCTAATGGTTTTTAAACTATTTTGTGACCAAACAACCATATCCCAGATGACTAAAAATGAAAGTGTCCAATGAAAACACATTTCCTACTTATCTTAATCATACAATTAAATGGTGTGAATGGGAATTAGTTCCAGGACTAAACATTTTGAAATCCAGGGACTGACATCCTTCATTAAAGTTTACCATGTTAATTCCAGCACTGATCTGCGAATACAGCGGAATGCATAATATGACAAACCTCCCCAGTGGGTTCTAATAGATTGTTCTGAATCAATGATCCTTCACTATTAGCAAATAGAAACTAAACATGGATGTGTAGGTTTTCGGAATGATGTCTGGTTGGCAAAAAAACAACAAACTGGAACTACATCATCATCATCTACATGCCCATAGCCAGATTTTGGTGGGGGGGGGAGTATGGGGGCTCCAAATTTTGAAATAATGCCCAAATTAAAAAAAACAATGCCCAATAATGCCAGTTTGTTATATATAAATTGCCTAGTTTAAGTGGGGAGGAACAGATTTTCCTTCAAGGTACATGTAGGTCCACTATTTTAGGAGAATTGGGTGGGGGATGGCCAGGCCTGGTCTGTATGACATTTGCTTACAATTGGAAGTGAAAATGCACATCATAGGTTTAAGTGCTGTAATCTGATCATTAACTCTTCATCATTTTGATTTACCAGAGCCCCTCTTTATCTAATGCTTTGGGGTGATTTCAAGAAATAAAGTAGTAAACACTGTGGATCCAACGATTTTTCAAAAATTGTAATGCAAACTCTGTGAGTTGAGATTTCTGAAATACTTCTTTTTTCTTGTCAGTGTTGTTTGTCTTCTCAATCAATATCTCTGAGGTCCTGTCACTTGAGACCAGAAAGAGCAGTGATATTTGCAGTTATTTGGATTCGTAAATGTCACTTGTTTCAATCCGTTAGTCAAATTCATGGTTGATTATTTGAATCAACACTTTGTTCTCGTCTCTAATTGGTGACATGTTTTGTTTCATTTTAACTAATTCTAATTCAAATGATGACATTCAAAATGACTTCTTTCACTAACTGGGGTTCATTGAACTTGTATGTTAATTATAACTAAATTAGGAAAATATCTGAGCAACAGAATATGGTGAAAAAAATCAATTCTACACACTGAGCAGAATTTCCTAATTTTGACTAGTTCAGATGGAAAGGGTTACAATCTAAATTAATTTATGGTTACACTATTCAGACCAAAAGCCAAAGAGAGATGGGGGGGTTAGGGTGCAGGCAGACCCTCTACCCTCCTCTCCCAAAATATTCTTGCAAAATCATGCAGTTTTTCACCACTTTGAGGACTTCAAAGTGATTTTGGACCACAATGGTCAAATGTGAACCCCCTGGAAAGAGCCCCCTGACAAAAGCTGGTAATGGGCAGGCCCATAGCCAGGATTTGCCAAGGGGGGTTCAGTTTTCAAAAATTTCCACGGGGGTTCACATTTGACAATTTTGGCCCAAATATGGCTAAAATCACTTGAGAAGTGCTCAAAATGGTGAAAAACTGCTTGATTTTGAAAGAATTTTTGGCCAGGGGCGGGGAGTTCGCCTGAACCCAGCGAACCTACGGGCCTGATGGGTCTGCCATTAATCTGCATATATGTACACTAATAGAATAATGCCTAACAGCTACATGTAGTTCACTTACAGCATCAGCATCCTCCTGTTGTTTCAAGTCTTTGGAAGCATGCAGCCATTTCTCAAGTAGGTTTAGGTGAACCTTTTGTAAGTTGACCTTGTGGAGCACACTGATATCTTCAGCCACTTTGTGGATATCTGAAGAACAGATTATAAAAATTACATGAGTAAATATGCAGGCTAATGGTGTAGCGCATCATAGAATATTTGGGACTGTTCAGAATGGAACTTGGTATTTGAATTTGGGAGTTCATTCATGAGCACAGAAGAGAATGCAGTGGTCTACAAGGAAAAATATTCCCATTCTATTTATTGGCATACTATGAGTAGTCATAGGCCATCTTTTGAAAAAAGAAATGTTTTCTGTATCTAAACAAAAATTGGTACATAAACACTTTACATGCAATAACCACCAAGATTCAGTCACACGCCATCTTTTGAAAAATGAAACATTTTCTGTATCTAAGCAAAAATTGTTACATAGATACATACAAACATACAATCCCCACTAAGATTCATAAGTATGGTCTTGTCAAAAATGAGTATATTACATAAGCATTGAAGTGGAGATTTGGATAAACAACATAGACTCATACTCCAAATTCTAAAAGTATTTCTTGAACTATTTTTACAAATTATAAAAAAATTTATTTTTGACCTGGAAACTTGTCCAGATTTCCTGCATTTGATCTTCTAAGAATGCTGTCATGACTGTAAAGCTGGAAGATTAACTTGGCGGGAGATCCAGTGAGAGCTAGGAACTCTTTCTCTCCAAGTGAATTCTTGTAAAGGATTTCTTCAGTGGCCATTCTCCGATGCAAATCTGTGAATTTCTTTGTTGAAATCTTGGCTTGTTCATATTGTGGTGTCTAAAAATATAAATTTACAAAATGTAAAACCAGGTGACAAATAGTGAACTATGAGAAGAATAAAGCGCATCTGTAAGCTTAAATTAAAGTCCATAATTAACTTAATGATGTGAACAAGCTAGCTAAATGTATGTGGTGTTCTTACAAATATACCTTTCAATTACTAATGCTGACCTCTTTTGGTTAAAAAGGAAACTTTGGTGTATTGGCTAGATTTATGATGTCATAGATTGCAGGCAACAATGTTTGTAAACAAGATAGAAATAAGTCTTTGAAAATGAGCATTAAAACTGTAATAAAGACATCCATACAAGAACAGCTTTATCAATAAGTGACTGTATTGTAGAAAAGCATACCCCTGGTTTCTCTGACTGTAGCCATTTCTCAGCTAGGTGGGCTGCCAGATATAAAGCCCACACCTTTTCAGGCCCCATAGGGAGGGCTTTAACAACATATTGTGCCACACCGAGGGCATTAACACAGCTATCAATACAAAGAATCAGTCTCTTCAAAGTTGCGAACATTTTAACATTGATATCATTTTTCACATTCCAATTACAGTTGGCCTTCTCTATAACTGCACTGCCTGAGTTGTCCTGCTGTTTGACTGATGTGATATGAGAGTCTATTGTATTTTGAATTGTAGTGATGTATACTGTGTCAAGCTGCAGTTGAAGCAGAGTTGCTATGGAAACAAAGGCATCAACAGTTCCAGCATTCAGTTCAGGAGCTGAAATAGAGAAATGAAAACACAATTATTATTTTTTAATAAAGATAGAAGTGTTAATATAAAATGATGTTGTATCATTTTGTTGTATTATATTGAGTGCATTGCATTGCATTGTATTGTATTGTATTGCATCATAGTATTGTATTGCATTGAATTGTATTGCATTGTATTTTGTTGTGTTGAATTCCCATATGAAAAATTACTGAGATCACCCTGACAACTCATAAAAAAAACAAAGTGTCATGTGTTGTGTTGTTTTATCGGGTTGCCCCTACTACAAGACATCAATCTTAGTATGAACCCAATTTTAACAGGGTTCGTACACCTTTTTCAAAATGAATTTCCCTGACAATTCCCTGACATTTCCAGGCAAAAAATGAAGTTTCCAGATCTAATTTTCCTCGAACGGCCTCTTAAAAATCTCAAACAACTGTTATTCAAGACAAAACGACTTATTATGAAACATTTTGGGTTTCTCCTTCAGTACCATTTCTCATGACTTAACTTTACTTGTACAGGCCATCTGATTCACATATTTATTCCTGATACATTATGTTTTCAATATTACATATTTTACATTGCATAAGGCCAAAGGTAAAAAAAAACATGTATAGGGGCGAAGCCAGCAAGTGTCCAGAGGGTGTAATGTTTTGAGTTTGCATCACTGCGAGCAAAAGTAACCCAAAGGGGGCAGGGGGGGCGGGTACGGAGGTTCACCCCCGGAAATTTTTTAAAATTGACATTGTATATGTTGCATTCTAAGCATTTCAAACTATAATTTGTTAATGTTTTGTAATGAATCCAAATGACAACTGAAACTTTAAAATTTTGATCTCAATCCTAATAGAAAAAATAGCAACTCACTTGAGGGGCAATTCCCACCTAATGAAACAGATTTTTATTATTGAATACTATCATTGTGAGCATTATATAATAGCAATAACCTGGCATTACTATTGTCTTCTCCCTTTTGGGAAAATTACACCCAAACAATTGACACCATATTAGAAATTCCTTCTCAAGTAGCATCACGATAAGGCTCAGGCCTATGATACCAAATCAAATAATCGGTATTTGTGTTATCAGGAATCAATTTCTTTAAATTATCAAAAAATTCATAAAAATGGTGGCAATTTTGAATTCAGAGACCATCTTGAATATTTCTTCTTGAGCAGGTCCTTTGTCCCTAAGGCTACATAATACAAAATTTGACCCAAAGTAAAATGCTGGGTCCATCTTTACACGAAGAAAAATTTGGACCAAATTCAAAAACTGTTAATAGTACCCCACACACATTTTGGTTGCCTACTTCCATGTGCTAAGATTTTCAAAATTGGCAAAGTCCCTTAAAGTTGAAAAGACTGACATACAACCGGACTGTCGAAGAGACAGCTTCTTAATATAAATACAATTTTACACTGTAGAGAGCTCCCAGAATTTTTTTGTTTTTCACCTACCACCCCCCCCCCCCCTCAGATTAACCCCTCAACAAACCATGAAACATATACCAGTAATTTAACTTTGAATGGCCTAAGACTAAGCTTACTACATGGAAAAGCATAATTGTGTTAAATCATCTATACATTATCTTTATTGTTCAGTTTCAGTATAATGTTCATACTGTTCTTACAAAAAGAAAATACCAGATCTAATGTCATTCAATCAACCCTAATGAAAAGATTTGCAATTTGTGGAAACAACTAAATGATTTTGGGTTTCACTGATATCCTGTCATAGCCCTAAAATGTATTTTGCTGGAACATTATTTTTTCAACAATGATACAAAATTCCCTGACATTTCCCTGACACATCTACTGTTTCAAAATTCCCTGACATTTTTGGCCCTTTTTTACCCAATTTTAAAAATCCCTGACATTTCCAGCACCTGGAAAAATAGATCAATTTCACTGACATTTCCAGGTGTGTACGAACCCTGTTTAATCAATGTCTCAACATCAGGGCAATTTGATATATTTGAACAATTTCATGATATCAGAAAATTGAACATATCAAGATTATCTACACAAACTTCAATTGCGAATGTTAAAACTCCACCAATTAGAGCCCTTATTCTCGCATTAAAAAGTCTCAAAAACTCTACAATTGAAATGATTGATTTTAGCAAAACAGAAAGTTCTTATTCACCTTTATCCTTAAACATTTCATTCCTTTTCCGATTGAGACATACTCCTCTTAAAGAAATATACCTGGGCAATAATTATTTGGATGTCTTTTACACCCAGACATCCAACCTTCTTGAGAAAAAAATCTACCTCATTGACTTATTAATTGGATTAAGTGAACTTGACATTATAGTTTTTGATTTGTCTACTACTGAAAACTATTTTCGATCACCACGGGTTCTAATAAGGCCTGATGAATGGGATATGTTAAGGCCAAGTAAGCTGAAGACATTAAAGGTGAATACTTTAACACCAACGAAAGACCCTAGCTCATTCTTCCAATTTGAGATTGATCTTGAAATAGACATGTCAAATTTTGCAGACTTAGAAGTCCTAGAATTAGGAAATATGATATTTGATTTGAACAGGATACCAGTATATGAAGTCGATCCAGTAATGCAATACCTTGATGGTGGATGTACTTTTTATAATGGAAGCAATTTAAGAAAATTAGATCTATCTGGACCAAGCAAATTCGTAGAAATCACTGGAGAAATCAAAGGACTCGTAAACATAGAGGAGTTGAATTTTAATAATAATAACTGCAAACTGGCGCCATCTTTACTCACATGTTCAAAAGGTACTTTCGAATCCATAAAAATTCTGAAATTGAGAGGTAACAAGGTTCAAATGGATGGTAGTGATATCAGTCCCTCTCCAAGGCTATTCAATAAATGCAGCAAACTAGAACTTGTGGATATTTCTAACAATGAACTGAACTACATCCCTTCGAGTATATTCCAAGATGCGTTAAGACTCAAATATGTGGATCTATCTCATAATAAATTAACACATATTAATCTAAAGCTTGGAAATCATAAATATTTCAATTTTCTGAATCTATCTTACAACTCACTAGGAAAACTTGAGGAACAGTTCACTGATGAAATAGAAGAATTGAACAATAATTTGACAATAGACCTAAAAGGAAATCCATTGTCATGCGGGTGTGATAATATAGAGTTTGTGAATTGGTTACAGTCCCATAAGACGAGGATACAACATCCAATGGATTTAAAATGTATGAATGAAGATGGTCAACTTGTACGTATAATGGATCTCAAAGTTGGGGCTCTCAGATTTCAATGCGCAAAAGTTATTATTTTGACTGCAACAGTAACTGCAGGAACTATTGGTGTAACAATGATGATTGTGTTGTTAATTTATAGGTGGCGCTTTAGAATACAATACCTTGCGTTGCTAGCTCGTGCACAATTTCGCGGAAGAAATGTCCCAGATGCGGAGTACTATTTCGATGGATTTTTGAGCTATAGTAGCTTAGATAAAGGATTCGTACATAACACTTTGATAAATCATTTGGAAAATAAGTTGGACTACAAATTGTGTTTCGATGAGCGCAATTTCCTGATGGGGCATGTATTGGAAGACTTGGTCACAGTTGCCATGAATCAAAGCAGGAAAGTCATCCTAATAATCTCTCAAAACTTTCTACAAAGTGGATGGTGTACATTTGAAATGGAAATGGCCAATGGGGTTCTAGCAACTCGGGGGTCAAACTGTATTATTCTGATACTAAAAGAGCCTTTAAATATGATACCTGGTAACCTGATTAAACCAAGACTACAAGCACTTTTGGACAGTCGTCTCTATGTTGAGTGGAGTGAGGAGGAAGACAGACAAAAACTGTTCTGGCATAAACTACAGGATGTAATGGGACAACCAGGACATGCTGAACTAACAGATGAACATCGTAGGAATGAATACCTCATACATTTATTCTCAGAACAGGACAGAGGCATTTGTGATGAGGATAATGAAGAAAATAGGCCATTACTTGAACATTCACAGTGTGATTAAAAGTGCAGTAAAGTATAGAGATGACTCGAGGGTAAAATTGTGGTAGATTGCCACAAAATTCTAAGTAATGACTATTTTCACAAATAAATTCTAACTTTAATGCATACATGTACATTGTTTTTAATGATTATTTTACAATTTACTAGAATAAGTTATAGGATCATGACGCAAAGTCATGTTCTAAAAGTAGGTGAAGCAAATGATTTTGACGCAGTCATGTTCTAAAAGTAGGTGAAGCAAATGATTTTGACGCAAAGTCATGTTCTAAAAGTAGGTGAAGCAAATGATTTTGACGCAAAGTCATGTTCTAAAAGTAGGTGAAGCAAATGAATGACATTATGTCTCTGACACTCACATACATGTACCTGTACAAATGTTTATATAGTTTATTGAATGATCAGGAGTTTTATTTGAATTTAATTTATGACAACAGGCAAAACAAATGATAACAACACGCAAATTGTATTATTATTATCTTAACATAGAAACAGTTACAAAATACTTAGCAATTTTGGTATAAAAAAAAACCTAGAGAAAACGAAAATAGACAAATGTGAAAAATTGAAGTTCAAAACTTACTGATAATCTTCCAAGGGGCCTTCATAAATAGATGAAATGGGAGTCGAGTCTCTGCCTGGGGAGGGAGGTTGTTATTGCCGTACATAAGGACATCATCCTCACTGATTGGTTGAAATGATTTCTCATATTCAGAAGGTGGAGCTTGTCGCACATAGTCATTTAGATATTCTAAAAGTTTCAAGCTCTGGAATTAAAAGAACAATACTAGGTAAACATTGAAACAAAAAAGTTAACCAATAACGAATATATAGAGTCAATTGTAGCCAAAGTGAGCAGTGAGTGTTTGATAAATTGTTCTATTCTTATATACATATGTATCTTAAATCCATTAAAGCTTTTTATTAAATGTGAAAATATAGAGGCTTGTGTGCACATGCTCCCAATGTGGATTCGAAGATTCCTTGATTAACCTGCGGGTAAATATTGCTTGATTTAAAATACTAAGATATTTGTATGTATAATTAATATATGAAGTTGAACCAAAATAAAAAAAACTACTTTGATTCAATTTTTACCTTTTGTATATCAGCGCTGGTTGATAATTTATTAATTTGTTCCAAAACAAATCCCAGAGATTCATAGTTATAAGCATCTATCTGGAACCACAAAAACAAACAGCACATTTTATATGTACAGTAAAACTTATATATCTGAACACGTATCTGTTCAATGTGAATACATTTTCAGTCCTATTTTTTATTTAATTTGACATAGACTTCCATGTTGAAAAACATGAGAACACCTGTGAAGCAATACACTTTCAGTCAGTCCCAGTGATGTTTGGAATAGACAGGTTTTACTTTAAAATTAAAGATAGTCCCTACCTTGTGATCATGCCTATTTCATGAAATATTTTTTATTCCATTTTACAGCTATTACCAGTCTATAATATTTTATTAATAATCTTTAATCTTTATCTCACAAAAATCAGTTTCTTTCCCTTTATGTTAAAAACAAACAAAATCACAGCAACACTTAAAGGAATATTCCTTGCCAAACCATCTGTCTCCTCATATGGTAGCTATAACCATATATATGCTTGCCATGTTTAGCAAAACACGCAAAAATGTTTTGATATGGTCAAATTTGATCACTTAGAAATGTGATGCTCAATTCCAGTAAGCTGCCATCTTTTAAAATTTCACACAGGAAGTGATGTCATCGACTCTCAACTTTGCATATAGCATTAGGTGAGGAGCTATTAAGAATTACAAAACCAGCTAAATATTCTTTTTCAACTTTGTATCTTATTTAATCCTTCTGAAAATCTCTTCTTTTATTTTAAGTTGACAAGCCCTGAAAATATTTTTTGCACAGAAAGTAATGATCACTTGTCTAGAAGTGATTTTGTGCTACTTTCCTATACTGTTATGGGCAAGGTTATAGAAGTTGAGAGTTGATGACATCACTTCCTGCAAGAAATCTTAAAAGATGGCAGCTCACTGGAAACAAGCACTAGATTTTTAAATGATCAATATTGACCATATTAAAACATTTTCCCATGTTTTGCTAAATATGGAAACTATATATGATTATAGCTACTATATCAAGAGAGAAAGGGTCTGACAAGGAATATTCCTTTAAGGTAGGCCTGTTCCATGTAGCTCATATTATGAAAACTGGCCCAAAATATGTCCTACATGGTCCACCTTAAACTAAAGTTATAAAGCTGTACCTTCATGTATATATCCTTTAGGCGAAGAAGTAGGTCTTCTTTATCACTTATTTCTTTGATCACTATCTCAACTTTGTCAAGCATCTGAAATTTAAAAATTATTTAGTCACAAAGAATGTAAAAGATTCATATTGACTCTACCTACCCTTCTACTAAAGAACTCCAGATATAGCCATGGAGATGGGGGTGCGATATAATATAGAATATGAAAGGGGAAAGTAAATATTATAAGGGGCAAAAATAAGGATTACAAAAATATGGGTCCAACATAAATATGGAGTATGAAAGCAGGAAATATGAAAAATGCTTTACCCACTCATATTTTGGAAGACTCCATGGCAGAGCAATATAGATGCCCCAAAGGGGAATACCACCCTGCATTTGCAAGATGGTTGTAAAACCTACTTTAGATCAAAATGATATAAGGAGTTGAAAATAGATGGCAATACTGAATGCTCAATGTTAAGTCAACACAATTTCTCTTTTTGAACTCCCTAATTTTCTAGCATATGCTATACTACAACTACTATTGTTTCAATTAGATCTAATATGTTAACTATAATATCTCATTTTATGAAGTCTACATTACAACTCTAACATTACATTATGTTGCAGTTTTACATTTCACATAATCATAATCAATATCTACCTGTTTGTGGCTGTAAGTGTCCCCTGTTGGATGATGTAATAAATTGTCCAAAAACAAACAAAGTGCTTTGTTAGGGTCTAGGTTGAAATCTCTGCAATACAGAATTATTAAAAGATAAATTGTATATTTATATTCTGTTTTCAGAAACAAGACACACAGTGATAAATATCGCACTTTGAAGAGCAATCTGGCCACCATGCAATTTACCCAGCATGGCCAAAACCTAATCAGACCTTGGCACTAGTCTGCTCTTGCATCTGTAAACATTTCAAGTTGACAAGGTTAGCGGTTTTCCTGCAATTTTGATGACAAGAATTTATTTGTAGTCTTGAACTTTGGAAAAATTTAGATAACATTGTTTGTGACCTAATTTGATGACCTTCGACCTTGAAAATTTCACTTTTTCAGACCTCAGTAGGTGTTTTGTAATTAAGCTGACCTAAATTTAAATCCAAAAAATATCAATTTAGAAAAACAAATTTTTGACCTTTTCAAAGTCACTGAAGGTCAACGAAAGGTCAAATCTGAAATCTAAGGTCAGATTTGAACTTCTGAGAACTTGTAGATGTTTTTAAAAAAAATATTTGGTCAATTTGGAGAAAATTGAAAAATTCGAAATGGCCGCCAAATTGAAAATTCAAAATGGCCACCATGTAATTCAGCCAGCATACCCAAAACCTAATCAGATCTTGGCAATAGTCTGCTCTTGCATCTGTAAAAATTTCAAGTTGAACGGATAAGTGGTTTTCCTGGAATTTTGATGACAAGATTTGTTGAAAAATTCAAAATGGCCACCACGTAGTTTACCCAGCATGCCCTTAACCTAATCAGATCTTGGCACTAGTCTGCTATTGCATGTGTAAAAATTTCAAGTTGAACAGGTTAGCGGTTTTCTTGGAATTTTGATGACAAGAATTGATTTGTAGTCTCAAACTTTGAGAAACTTGGATAACATCATTTGTGACCTAGTTTAATGACCTTGACCTTCGACCTTGAAAATTTAACTTTTTCAGACCTCAGTAGGTGTTTTGTAATTTAGCTGACCTAAATTTAAATCCAAAATATCAATTTAGAAAATCAACTTTTTTGACCTTTTCAAGGTCACTGAAGGTCAACGAAAGGTCAAATGTGAAATCTAAGGTCAGATTTGAACTTCTGAGAACTTGTAGATGTTTTTAAAAAAAAAATTTGGTCAATTTGGAGCAAGTTGAAAAATTCAAAATGGCCGCCAAATTGAAAAATTCAAAATGGCCACCATGTAATTCAGCCAGCATACCCAAAACCTAATCAGATCTTGGCAATAGTCTGCTCTTGCATCTGTAAAAATTTCAAGTTGAACGGATAAGTGGTTTTCCTGGAATTTTGATGACAAGATTTGTTGAAAAATTCAAAATGGCCGCCATGTAGTTTACCCAGCATGCCCTTAACCTAATCAGATCTTGGTACTAGTCTGCTCTTGCATCTGTAAGAATTTCAAGTTGAACAGGTAAGCAGTTATCCTGGAAATTTGATGACAAGATTTGGTTGATGTCCCGCCCGCCCGCACGCCCACCCAACAGCACAAGACGACGACAATATAGCACTTTTTCAAAGTGCGATAAAAATATTTGGTCAATATGGAGAAAATTGAAAAATTCAAAATGGCCGCCAAATTGAAAATTCAAAATGGCCACCATGTAATTCAGCCAGCATACCCAAAACCTAATCAGATCTTGGCAATAGTCTGCTCTTGCATCTGTAAAAATTTCAAGTTGAACGGATAAGTGGTTTTCCTGGAATTTTGATGACAAGATTTGTTGAAAAATTCAAAATGGCCACCATGTAGTTTACCCAGCATGCCCTTAACCTAATCAGATCTTGGTACTAGTCTGCTCTTGCATGTGTAAAAATTTCAAGTTGAACAGGTAAGCAGTTATCCTGGAAATTTGATGACAAGATTTGGTTTATGTCCCGCCCGCCCGCCCGCCCAACAGCACAAGACGACGACAATATAGCACTTTTTCAAAGTGCGATAAAAAATGTTTGGATGTACATGGAATTAACATTCTAAACTTTTATTTGAACTTGTAGAATCCATAAATCATTTAATATTTGCTATTTTCCATTATCATTATTACGATGACTGCAAAGAAACACTGATAAAATATCATATCGCAAATTAAAAGAGTCCATTGAAACAATGAAAGTATGTATCTACATTCTATACACTGCTTACAATTTACATTACAATCTTAAAACTTGAGACAGTGAGAATTTATCGAAGCAATTTAAAAGATGTCATTTCAGTCTGAACTATTGCTAATATGGTATGTGTATAACATTTCCCAAAAATTAATAAAACAATTCATCAACATTCAAAATGTCACTACCTGTCATTTGTTACAGACTCCGACTGATAAACACCAACCAGTGTCAACAAAAAAGTTGTAAATTATAACTTCTATTTGTTTTACCTGCAATATTCTGTTACTAGTGATATGCTTCCTTCAGCATGTTGAACAATAGATGGCAGTATCTTCTCTTTGTGTTCTGAAGGCCCATTGAATACCTCTTTAAATTGGATCTAAAAATAAATCACTATCATCACAAGATGTAATAAATTACCTTCATTTACTGTCAATACAATTACACATCATACAATACAATAACACATCATACAAATACAATTACACATCATACAATACAATTACATCATACAATACAATTACTCGTTTCTTGTATGGTAGCCTTTAACAGCAGAGTGCCACCTATGTTTAAAATTTCACAGAACCTTGTGCTTAAACATCATCCACAAATTATTTAAAATCCTTTAACCATGATTAAACCATGATATAACCTATAACGATGTACCATAAAATCTGTGTACATTGAACACCTCTGGAGCAACAAAAATAAGTTCGCCATAGGTAGGTGTTCACTACAGAGAGGCCGTTTTTTACTAAAATTAGTGGAATATGTGCTGAGAAGGGGTGCTCATTGGTTAAGTGTTCACTAGTAGAGAGATGTGTTCACTAAGATAGGTTTCACTTTATTGTATTTCTGAGTATAATTATAATATTGTGTGTAATTACAAATGAGATAATTTGAAATTGAAAATTAAATTGATGTTCATTCATCTCTTGATAACACTATAACCTAATCTCGGAAGTTAGTCCCCTACATGGATAACAACTCTTTATTCATATTCCAATGACCATATGAGTCAATGTCTCTGTATAATATGAAAAATTGGCTAATTTACCTGAATTTTCTGAAATGAAAATTTAATTTTTCCTCGCTGATTCCACTCTATTTCTTTTATAAAACATGAATAAATTTGATATTTTTCAAAAGAGGCAATTTCTATGAATAGGTCCTATTCACTGCACTTTGAAAATTGAATGAACATGTTGATTTCCTCCTTGTCAACCCATCAATAGCTAATTTCCTTCTGTATCATATTGCATAACCTTCCCAGAATGTCACTGAATTGGAATACCATTGAAGCGAGGGACAAAGTTCTTTCACAAATCTAGCGCCAACTTCCTCTCAATTTACAGGTCTCATTCAATTAGGATGTTTTATGTAGATATTTACTGTCATAATGTTACACTGCGTAATGTTCTGTGCAATTTCCAAAGGTCATTTCATGTAGCATAACCTTGGGGATATATCCTAGGGGATAACCTTGGGGATATATGCTAGAATAGTGGGTTACTTTCAGAAAATATTCTTGCTACAAGCCCCTTATGTTCTCACTCATTCTTGATCAAACATTGGCTACAGAAAAATATAATTGGAATGATTTGATCAAAAATCGAATGCAAGAGTTTTCCATTGCAAGTATCCTTGTAAAAATTGGCTGTTGATTAATGTCAAAATGACACAGTCAAATGCCATCTCGTATTTCACCCTAGAAGCGATCAATTTGAGAATGTAGGTAAATATGTAATCAAGAACTTACCCCTAATGTTGATAGCCTATGCCCCCAAGTTGCATTTACTTGCAGTGCTTTACAAGTTTTCAGCGCTTTCTCATCTTTTAGAAGTACCGAAAGATCTATTCCAATCCTGGACAAATACTACAAACAAGAACATTTATGCATAATGCAATACACTATCAGTAAATTATGTATCATTTTAAGTTTTGAAATATTGGTTTGGTAATGTTCATTTAGTTTGTATCATAAAATGTTTGCATGAACGAAGAGTGAAGAATTTCAGTTTTAATTGTGATGCTCTTTAAACACTTAGAAACTCATACATACATATTTATTCATTTCAAAAAATTTACACTTTTTTCAAAAACTTGCATGAAATCAATTTTGTTTTAGTTAAGCCTAAAAGCTCATGGCACACCCTGCTTCTTACCATTATCCTCTTATAGCTGTTCCCAGGTTTAGTGGAGTGTGACCTTAGAGTGTTCAACGCTCCTTTAGCTGATAGAGTATAGAGATTGCCTAGCACTAAGTTATGGTCCACTACTCTGTGACTGACCATCTGTAAGGATGAAGTAGCACATGATACACAAACAAGACCACCTTAATAGCTATTCCCCTGACGGACGTTCTTTGAGTATGTAACATGTCTGATGTTTTATTAAATGCATGTATACTGTAGTAAGGTAGGATAAGTGTGTTAATTTGGCAACTACACATATGCTCGGATACTCATGTCAGACATAGCTTTAATCCCACTCTACCTTCCTTAAAATGAACAATTTGGGGATCAGGTGGAATAATCTATACAAAAAGTGATTGTTCTATTCCAAAATGAACACTTGTGAACCTCAGCTCAGGGCTGGATATATTTATAGGTATGGCCATAAGTTATATTGATAGTAGTCACCTTTGATATCAGCGCCACAGTGATGTCCTGTATGATCCCCTGACTCCTGAGTAGTGCCTGCATACCAAGATCCTTCTCCTTCTCTATCACACCTAACATATCCTTAAAGACAACAGTATTACAACATATCCTAAAGAATTACAGCATTTACAACAACAGCATTAACAACACATTACAACAGCAGCATCTTAAATTTAACTTACAACATTCTGATTGTATACATTTTTGCACATTTAAGCTTGAATGAGTACACATAAGTATCATGGCTCATTTTGGAGACAATATATAATAAATGTTAACACATTATATTCGTAGGCCAATTTTATAAATGATGCTTACAAATTTTACATCCCTTTTATCTCTGACTCTGCATTTAAATAAGCAACACTACAGACAGTTCACAAAAATTTGAGAATATACAGAAAGAGGATATTTTACTCATAATTAGTACCTGATCACTAATAGGAAAGCCCATGCTCTGAGTCGCAATATGCTGAAGTATGGAAGACACAGCATCAATACTGTAATGTGCACAGAGCTCCAACAGACTATTCTCGCGTAAGTGATCAACAATTTTAACCCCGACTGTACTCAAAGTGAAAGGAGCAGCCTCAGGGGTCTTTTGATTGGCCTGTTGAGATTTCTTGATCTGTTGTTGCCTGGAAACACCCTGGATCCTGTTTTGTTGGTAAGGATGTGGCAATTTTTCTAGAAAATAGAGAGTAAATGTCAAAGAGACATTCAAAAATTTTCATCTCCATCATCAATATATTCTAATAAGATAAAATGATCAATCAATTTGGCTTTTTTTATTGGAGCATGTGAAAGAGCCTGGTTATGATTTTCAAATGTTTTTTTCCTGGTTTGTTAACTCTATTAAAATTGTAACAAAGACCTCGAGTCTATGATAAATGACATTATAAATCATCATCATCAATCTTTATCGCTTAAATCAATAACTGAATTCTGGTGCTTGTAATTAAAAAGCAACCTGAGCTAGGAAGACTGGCAATTGTGTACTGGTATGCTAAGGGGAGAATTAGAGAGGAATCAAGCACGAGTCCATCTTCTTTGAAGTGTTTGTCGAATGTCCAGGTTGTGTAGGGGTCAAGGTTGGATGCATCATGTAAGTCCTCAGAGACTCTCTGAAAAGAAACATCAATTATATTGGTTATTTCAGAACAAGAGTCCATGTTACTCTTGTGGTGATCAATATGAAGGCTGATTGCAATTCATCATTTTAGTTTATCTTCACTGACATTTACCAACAAATCCTTTTGATATCTTAAACCTTAATAAGAGAACCAATTGCTTATTTCATCATAGTAAACATTACTTTCTTAAACGGATGTTTATCAAACTGTAAATTGTTGATTTGGGATTTTCAATGTGTTAGGAAAGCTGTTTAAAAGCAGCAATATACACTTTCCCTTTCTAACATTGAGATTCCAACATGTTTCTAGTCACATTAACAGTAAAGTCACATTTCTTTTGATTTAATCAACTGGTCATTTAATAAATGAGTCATTTCATCGAATAAAATAATACCTTTTATTATAGCTCTCAGATGGGACATTGAGTGCACGTTTCATTGTTACAATGCTATTTATCTATTATTTCTATGCCACTAACAAGCTGACATGAGCAGACATAAAAACAAAACGGCCTTTATCACCATGGAACATAATTATAACACCTTTAACATGTATAGAATACAGTTAGAATGCGATAAGAATTTATGGAAAATAAAATCGTCAATAGTAGGACAATAACGGGACAGGTTTACGGACATGCGAATTACTATCACACGACTATTCAATCACGATATTAATTAAAGTTATTATATTAAAGTATTCAAGGGATTAAATTGTTCACCAAAGTAATGAGGTGAATAAACAACATAATGTATCTTTACCACTTAAATGGTGCTAAAGGCGAGAAATTTTCACAATAAAATATACTTCATTTCTTTTAAAAATTTCATCATTTCATTTGCTTTATCTGAAAGATCAAATCAAATTGCTTAATTTTATGGTCAAGACACCAAAAGCAGGCCTTTTATCATCAAATGCAGGATATGAATACCCTAAACATTATATTGTCAATAATTCTTTCAAGTTTATGATGAACATTTTGAACTATCAACTTTTTCTCAGTCATTTACATACGGAATGAATCATGAGACACCATGTAAAGCTGATTAGGTCTTTGGTGTCACATTGAAACAAATTATCGTTTTCTGTTATTATGAAAAATATCTTCTTGCACTTAGCAAATTCCCTGGACAGATTATGTTAGATATGTTTACAAATATGGGAGTAGGAAGTCACCAGTTTCACCACCAGGTGGCTCATTCGGATCAGATAGCAAGGTGGGAATAATAGAAAGTTCCCTGTAACTTAAATATTCATCAGTTTTAGTTGTTCAATTTTCATATCCCCCTTGTGTATGTAATCATTATGTAAATTAAAATATGTCCAGTAAAGGAAAATATTATCTGTCCAATACAAGAAAAGATATTTCAATTTTTGTGATTGATCAACATGGGTTTCTATGGAGAATCTCTCCGAACTAGGAATCACATTTATCAAAAAAATTAAATTTTAAGTTGATTAACAATTTTTGAAACCATATTTCTAGATGTACTTTTACAAATTTGACATCACTTTGACTTAATTTTGAATATTTAATGACGCAAATTAAGATTACATATTTAGTATTTATACACGCATCTAGTCTATTGACAAAAGTTTTCTTGTGAAGAGAATTATGTGAATTACTGTAGTTCTTCAGGGTTAAGGTTAGCTCTGTTTAATCAGATTTATATTATAACATACTTAGCCACCAGATTAACTTTTCAATTATGCCACATAATATTATCCACCCAAGTGTAGCTTTAACTTAATCTAAAATGCCAGCTCTACATAATGTCGATCTTGCATGACTACATGTAGTTCTAACAATCTTACACTTATTAATTTCATCAGTTTTCATTCATACATAAATATTATAGTCATCCTATTTTGATGGTATCATTTGCATTTTTATAGTATCTATCTTCATAAGTATAGAATATCAAATTATTTTGAGTAATATCATTTTTTCTAGAAGTTGGGATTAAATTTGTTGTTTCTGTGCAATTTGTATCTAAAGTGAGATTTTTTCACGTAGGTTTGAAATATGTTCTAAGGATCATATGCAATGTATGCAAAGCCATTCATTGTGGCCAGGAGGTCCTAATACATGAAATATTAGTATGTACCATGCAATAAGATAGCTGTTATCCAATTATCAGGAAACAATGTTTTCTGCATTTTGTGAAAAATAACTGAGTAGCAAATTTTATATACGGCAATGTTATACATGTTTCTCAACAGAAAAAGATGACATTAAATTCATATCATGTGATATAGTGATATCAGAGGGACATATAGTATGGACCTATAGATTACATTTACCTACAATTTGGGCAATCGGGTAGGGAAAAAATCACCATCAATGAATTAATATGTATAATTGAGTTATTTTATTCCTATATAATTCCCCTTTTCTATTATTTTTATTAGATAAAAACATGCACAGCACATACAATTTCAGATAATTAAATGAACTGAATAATGGGAATTTAATGGTATGAAGATGATCATTATAGTTTTATAATGCACTTTAAAGATATAATTGGATTATCATACCTGAAAATAGTAAAATAATGTGAAGATTTATTGGCATACCTGTTGTAAAAAGATGTTTATTGTTGCCATTTGTCATAAAAACATCTTATTTTGAATAGATTGTATTAATATCATATATTCTAAACCGCTTTCTGTATAAACATAAAGAATGAAACATTATTTTGAACATAAAATACACATGTCACAAACATTATTTAAATAATGTTCTTTGAAAAGTCCTGATTACAATTTGGTGTTGACGATTTCAAAATACTGACAATTTAATACTGATTGAGGACTTAATGCTTCATGTCCAATATCCAGGTTAAGCCTCACTAGGTAGTATTGGATTTTGCATGCTTAATAGAAAAGGTATAAACAGGATAAGTCAACATGTGGGATAATTTATTACGGGAAATGACACAAACACTAACTATACTTCTGTACACAGAATATATCTGAAATCCACTATTTTACGGGAAAGGGATTAAAAGTTATCTATACGAAGAAACACTAAACAGACACAGAGTAAGAGATATAATATTTTCACAACTCAACTTCAGTGTTAAGTAAGACTTAACCAGCAGGCTGAGGGCAGTCTCGAAACCTTTGTTATTAGTCTCATGAGACACAATAGTGATATTTTCACTCAGTCCCTTAATAAAAATGATGAATAGATACCTGGACAGAGATGCCATAATCCCCAATCTCACTCTGTTTGGACAGAGAATCAGCAAGTGATGCACATTTACTTAATTCCAAGCAATCACAGATTAGTTCTGAAAGTAAAAGGAATAGCATTGGGCAGTATTAGGATTGTGTCAACTATATTTCAAACAATCACAAATTAGTTCTGAAAGTAAAAAGAATAGCATTGATCAGTGTCAGGATTGTGTCAACTAAATTTCAAACAATCACAAAGTAGTTCTGAAAGTAAAAAGAATAGCATTGGTCAGTGTTACAATTGTGTCAACTAAATTTCAAACAATCACAAATTTGTTCTGAAAGTAAAAAGAATAGCATTGGTCAGTGTCAGGATTGTGTCAACTAAATTTCAAACAATCACAAAGTAGTTCTGAAAGTAAAAAGAATAGCATTGGTCAGTGTAACGATTGTGTCAACTAAATTTCAAACAATCACAAATTTGTTCTGAAAGTAAAAAGAATAGCATTGGGCAGTGTTAGGATTGTGTCAACTTAATTTCAAACAATCACAAATTAGTTCTGAAAGTAAAAAGAATAGCATTGATCAGTGTCAGGATTGTGTCAACTAAATTTCAAACAATCACAAAGTAGTTCTGAAACTAGAAAGAATAGCATTGGTCAGTGTTACTATTGTGTCAACTAAATTTCAAACAATCACAAATTTGTTCTGAAAGTAAAAAGAATAGCATTGGTCAGTGTCAGGATTGTGTCAACTAAATTTCAAACAATCACAAAGTAGTTCTGAAAGTAAAAAGAATAGCATTGGTCAGTGTTACGATTGTGTCAACTAAATTTCAAACAATCACAAATTTGTTCTGAAAGTCAAAATAATAGCATTGGTCAGTGTCAGGATTGTGTCAACTAAATTTCAAATAATCACAAAGTAGTTCTGAAAGTAAAAAGAAAAGCATTGGTCAGTGTTACGATTGTGTCAACTAAATTTCAAACAATCACAAATTTGTTCTGAAAGTAAAAAGAATAGCATTGTTCAGTGTCAGGATTGTGTCAACTAAATTTCAAACAATCACAAAGTAGTTCTGAAAGTAAAAAGAATAGCATTGGTCAGTGTTACGATTGTGTCAACTAAATTTCAAACAATCACAAATTTGTTCTGAAAGTAAAAAGAATACCATTGGTCAGTGTCAGGATTGTGTCAACTAAATTTCAAGCAATCATAAATCAGTTCTGAAAGTAAAAAGAATACCATTGGTCAGTGTCAGGATTGTGTCAGCTAAATTTCAAACAATCACAAATTAGTTCTGAAAGTAAAAAGAATAGCATTGGTCAGTGTTAGGATTGTGTCAACTAAATTTCAAACAAACAGAAATTAGTTCTGAAAGTAAAATGAATAGCATTGGTCAGTGTCAGGATTGTGTCAACTAAATTTCAAACAATCACAAAGTAGTTCTGAAAGTAAAAAGAATAGCATTGGTCAGTGTTGCAATTGTGTCAACTAAATTTCAAACAATCACAAAGTAGTTCTGAAAGTAAAATGAATAGCATTGGTCAGTGTCAGGATTGTGTCAACTAAATTTCAAACAATCACAAAGTAGTTCTGAAAGTAAAAAGAATAGCATTGGTCAGTGTTAGGATTGTGTCAACTAAATTTCAAACAATCACAAATTAGTTCTGAAAGTAAAAAGAATAGCATTGGTCAGTGTTAGGATTGTGTCAACTAAATTTCAAACAAACAGAAATTAGTTCTGAAAGTAAAAAGAATAGCATTGGTCAGTGTTAGGATCGTGTCAACCAAAATTTCAAACAATCACAAATTAGTTCTGAAAGTAAAATAAAATGAATAGCATTGGTCAGTGTCAGGATCACATCACTTGGGAAAGCATCTTTAAAAATGTTGGAATGGTAATTAAAAATCATTCAAATCAAAGCCATATTTCTAAACTTACTATTTAAGAATTTGAATATAAAATATCAACAAAATTGCTCTACTTATTTCCAAGTACAAAAACATGAAATGACAAACCATTTCATTTTTGCTGCCATACCAATTTTTGAACTGAATCAATGTTACAAATATGTTTTGTAGATAAACAATCATAACTTATCTTTTTTCTATCAAAAATGAAATTGAGTTATATATTAGACAGATCTTGCAATATATTACTATATAAAGAAATATTAACGACATTCTGAACAATGAGTATGGCATGGAATTAGCCATTAAAAAGACATAAATAGCACAAAACCATAATAAATACACCCAGATTCAACACACTGTCAAACAATTCAGACAAGCGATTCTAGAAAATGACTGATATGATTTACATGGACTATAAATTAATCAAGCGCTCTGTTTATTGGAAAACAAGAATCCATTAGGGGCCATCTCAACTATTTTAAAGATACTGCCTGGCACACATAAATCCACTATTAATTTAGTACTGTCTTTTCCTGTATTAACTGAGATTAATTTATGGCTTAGTTAGAATCTCAAGAGATAAACAAATGTACAAATGTATTCATAAATAACAAAATTCCAGTAATAATTTTGTTTCGATAGGCTTGAATTATTGGACAGATACGCAGATATGTTTGAACAGATACGCGGATATGTTTGAACTTTGTATATCCACTTTGATTAGACATAAAATGAAGCAGTTTCAAAATTGAAATGACCTTGAAACCTAGAGTGACGAGATAATCTGTTACAAAATTTTTCACTAAAATTGCTCTGATTTGAATAATTTTAATTCAATTCACATAAAGATTTTTTAAAATGTGTAGAAATGATTGCCGCTGACTAATTTCACTAAATTGAGCATCACCCGTTGTGTGTGGTAAATTGTCAAAAGGTGGCAAAAATGAAAAATTCTCTTGATTCAACTGATTTTAGAGCCTGTGATTCAAGATGTTAATGCACCTTTAATATATAGCATGGAGAGCTCTTATTACCTGGTTTACATACAGTCACTGCTTGGCTTGCTAGGAGCTTGATATGGCTAGGGAGCATCTCAAGATCTTTGGTTGTAAGATTATCTTCACCCTCCTCCTTGGCTAATAACTGACAGAATATATGGGCCACTCTATAGAGAACCTCTCCTGTGTCAGCACAAGGCACGTTGTCATACAGCTCACTGGAAGTAAAAACATTATAAAATAAATATGTTGCATTAACATGACACAAACTGTCTTGTTTTATTTTAAAAATATCAAATCTTTTGTACCTGATTTCTGTATGATTCTAGCGTGGTGTATTATCAATTAAATGTAAATGTGTTGTGCATTTGCTATACGTATACACTGTACTGTTTTAATTACAGGTCAGAATGAATACATCATGGTGCATTTAATATAACAAAATACATTGCTTAATTGCTTGATGATTTCAATATTATTCAGTGTTCAAGTTTGACTTTCCTTTTTTTATAAAAGACAATAAAGGAATGGTTTTGATGGATAAGTGTAATTAGTGCAAAAAGGCCTCAGCTTTCCAGACAAAACAGTCTATCCTCTATGCAGGTTATAATCTCAATATGATATAAATCACTTCTAATTACACTAGAAAGGTTTATAGGGAAGCACACATCATATTTTGAAATAGAAGAGCTTTTGAACAAGGGGTATTTTCCTGTATTGATAAAATGAACAAAAATATCTTCAAACGAGAACCCTAATGACAGGTTTTAAAATGGCTGCCGCTATTGTTGACAGACAGACAGATGGATGGACGGATGGACAGCCTAACCATTTAGACTATTGAACATAAACCCATGTACAGCATACAGATCCAGATCACAAAATTAAATCACATAATTAATTTGAATGATGTACTAAGGTAAGAGATTCTTCTTTCATTCCAAGTTTGGTGATCCAAAGATCAATCAAGGAAAGTTGTACCATGATTTAGCTTAGACTAAAAACAGATAAGCAATGGGGAATGAGAACAACAGTAGAGCATAGAAACCAAATCTCATTCCTTTAATATTGCTAATAGCTTTATAATTTATGACACCTCCACGTTAACAATCAGGTTACATTTTGTCTGGCCGTCTTATACTTCCATGCAGTTTTGATTGTCGCCTAAAGTAATAACCAACTGGAGGTTAATAATTCGACATTCTGTCTTTCAAAGGAAAACTATTTATAAATGACAGCAAGAAGATTTGCCTGGCAATCAATTCATAGATCAATGACAGGGATCATTCACCATCCTCTAATTAGATGAACTAAGCTGGATGGAGATTGACTTCACATTATTAAGACCAATTTATTGTGATGTATTCAATATGATGACCAGAATATACCATATTTTTATGGTCTTGTTTTATGTTAAGAAACATCTGAAGGTGGAGGATGTGGATCATTGGCCACTTCAGATTCAGATATTTATTACTATTTTGAAAAAACCCATATGACATTCAATATAACATGACGCTCTCAAGAGCATATATGTTTGTATGATCGTGGCTGGGACTTTTGGAGTTTGCTTATATGTGTTCAACTTATATCATAATCTTACCAAATGTTATCAAAATCTGATATGTGAAACTTCCTGTTTTAACTCCAAAAAGTGGTTTTTGAGGTACTTTTTGTTTCGAAAATTGTGCATTTTTTCAAAACTAAAATTTTTGAGGCCAGACATATCTCTTTATAAGCTATAATTCGCACGAATGCATAACGTTCATGCTTACATGTTTTTGCCAATAAATAAGAAAATTAATTGATGAATATGTGACATATGGACTCATCCATATATAAAAGTGATTCAGAGAAATGTTTGAGAAATAAAAGCCAACACATTTTTTCAATCTTCTTTATAAATCTCTAAAGTCATGAAAAATAGTAAATGAATGATAACAAAAACGTATATTCAACATTGTTTGGGGCCTTTAAAACATATTGTGTTTTCTTTTGTGCCTTTAATCAATTTCAGTGATTCTTCCTTGCCTGATAAAGGTGTGGCTCAGACTGCTGCATACTTTAATAAATGAGTTTGTAATCCATTGGATTTAAAGGGTGCAGTTGATATGTGACTGCCTTGATTGATTACTCACCTGATTACAGGTATATTGATGCAAGAAAACCACTAATGCTGAACAAGAGTTAATATTTTTTTTATCTTTGAACTGAAGCTTGGCTTAAGTTTTTTGTTTGAAATGATTTGAATTGATGGTTTTTTCATATTGATTTATTTCAGTAATGAGATTCTAGAGTAATTGAATGATTGCTTAATGTCAAGTGTTCAAGATAAGTTCTCATAGTGAGCAAAGAGGCTTCATGACAGACAAGTTAGACACAACAATCATAACTCTTACATAACTTGTACATGAATCAGTTATACCTGTATGACTGTTAAAGGAGAACAAAATCTGTCTAATAGATCTTGAGTTATCATTCATACACAGCCTTAACACCTCTCTCCAACTTAAAATGATTGAATGAAGATCAGCGTTTTCATGATTACAGCTTTCACCACAATATTCAATTGTGTTTTTGAGTATTAACGGAAATAGGCAATAAAATAGTAAGTACTTGGTGATAAAACTAATGCCAACAGTAATTCATTAAAACCGATGATCTTTTGTGTTATAAAGCAGTAATATAATGATAACACTGGCAATAAAATAAATAATTGCAACCACACTTTAGCCGAGCCAAGATGATACTTACAAAGAAATAAAGATTTAACATTAAAATGTTCTACAGGGAATCTCAACATTCTAAAGGAACACAGTTCTTCTATTCTAACTGGCTAAAAACTAACATTCTGAGCCATCTTATGAACTGTCAGAATCTGTGTCAAAATCTGGCACCAATTCCACAACACAATATGGTTAGGTAAAACAAGAAAAAATGGTTAAAGCCCAAAAAGTTGTACAAAATGCAGCAAAAAATGAAACACCCAACAGGATGACCATCTTCATCACAAATATAGTCTTAAGAGTAAGTTTGATCAGCTGGTTTAATAAGCAGTATTTAGGGTAGGCCAAATATGACTTCCACCCCTGTACAATTCTTTGAATACCAAGATGGTTGTAGCAACTGAAACCTTGTGAATCAAGATGGCTATAGCCATATTCTCTACATCGTTATGTTTATTGTTCCTCACAATGGATTATTATCTCTCAACTAACTATTATCAATTTACTTAATTCATTGTTCATTTCTATAGAAAAAACACTGAAATCTAGATTTTCATTCCATAATGAAAAAAACTGTCACAAGTTTGGGATTCCATGTAAATGGATATTCTTGCCACTTCAACTAAAGTACATCTTAAACCTCAGCCTCATTGAGAATTTACTTAAGCAATATATAATTGTTAAATAACAGGAAAAGCTTTAGGGGATAATAATAAATTCAGTTATTATGTTGTCAAAAACGTAATTTAGAAACATTTATGGTTGATAATTAAAGAAACTTCACCTAAATTGAACTGCAGTAAATCTATGTAATGTGGAAAACAAATACAAATTACCTGTTGACATACTGATATTTTTTAACTGAAATTACTTACGCAAATATTTTTGCAGCTTCCAAGAAGGATGGTTTGTCATAACTTTATTCACCATTGATAATAATTATTATTATATCTTTATTTTCCCATTATTCATGGATCATTTTATAACATATTTACTTATTGATAAAAATTGCATAAAAATTGCATGCAAGGTTTTTACAAACAAGACACAGTGATAAATATCGCACTTTGAAGAGCAAACTGGCCACCATGCAATTTACCCAGCATGGCCAAAACCTTATCAGACCTTGGCACTAGTCTGCTCTTGCATCTGTAAACATTTCTAAACAGGTTAGCAGTTTTCCTGCAATTTTGATGACAAGAATTTATTTGTAGTCTTGAACTTTGGGAAAATTTAGATAACATTGTTTGTGACCTAATTTGATGACCTTCGACCTTGAAAATTTCACTTTTTCAGACCTCAGTAGGTGTTTTGTAATTAAGCTGACCTAAATTTAAATCCAAAATATCAATTTAGAAAATCAAATTTTTGACCTTTTAAAGGTCACTGAAGGTCAACGAAAGGTCAAATCTGAAATCTAAGGTCAGATTTGAACTTCTGAGAACTTGTAGATGTTTTTTTTAAAAAAAATTGGTCAATTTGGAGCAAGTTGAAAAATTCAAAATGGCCGTCAAATTGAAAAATTCAAAATGGCCACCATGTAATTCAGCCAGCATACCCAAAACCTAATCAGATCTTGGCAATAGTCTGCTCTTGCATCTGTAAAAATTTCAAGTTGAACGAATAAGTGGTTTTCCTGGAATTTTGATGACAAGATTTGTTGAAAAATTCAAAATGGCCGCCACGTAGTTTACCCAGCATGCCCTCAACTTAATCAGATCTTGGCACTAGTCTGCTATTGCATGTGTAAAAATTTCAAGTTGAACAGGTTAGCAGTTTTCTTAGAATTTTGATGACAAGAATTGATTTGTAGTCTCAAACTTTGAGAAACTTGGATAACATCATTTGTGACCTAGTTTAATGACCTTGACCTTCAACCTTGAAAATTTCACTTTTTCAGACCTCAGTAGGTCTTTTGTAATTAAGCTGACCTAAATTTAAATCCAAAATATCAATTTAGAAAATCAACTTTTTTGACCTTTTCAAGGTCACTGAAGGTGAACGAAAGGTCAAATCTGAAATCTAAGGTCAGATTTGAACTTATGAGAACTTGTAGATGTTTTAAAAAAAAAATTTGGTCAATTTGGAGCAAGTTGAAAAATTCAAAATGGCCGCCAAATTGAAAAATTCAAAATGGCCACCATGTAATTCAGCCACCATACCCAAAACCTAATCAGATCTTGGCAATAGTCTGCTCTTGCATCTGTAAAAATTTCAAGTTGAACAGGTAAGCAGTTATCCTGGAAATTTGATGACAAGATTTGGTTTATGTGCCGCCCGCCCACACGCCCGCCCGCCCGCCCAACAGCACAAGACGACGACAATATAGCACTTTTTCAAAGTGCGATAAAAATTCAAAATGGCCACCATGTTATTCAGCCAGCATACCCAAAACCTAATCAGATCTTGGCAATAGTCTGCTCTTGCATCTGTAAAAATTTCAAGTTGAACGGATAAGTGGTTTTCCTGGAATTTTGATGACAAGATTTGTTGAAAGATTCAAAATGCCCACCACGTAGTATACCCAGCATGCCCTCAACCTAATCAGATCTTGGCACTAGTCTGCTATTGCATGTGTAAAAATTTCAAGTTGAACAGGTTAGCGGTTTTCTTGGAATTTTGATGACAAGAATTGATTTGTAGTCTCAAACTTTGAGAAACTTGGATAACATCATTTGTGACCTAGTTTAATGACCTTGACCTTCGACCTTGACAATTTCACTTTTTCAGACCTCAGTAGGTCTTTTGTAATTAAGCTGACCTAAATTTAAATCCAAACTATCAATTTAGAAAATCAACTTTTTTGACCTTTTCAAGGTCACTGAATGTGAATGAAAGGTCAAATCTGTGACCTTGTTTAATGACCTTGACCTTCGACCTTGAAAATTTCACTTTTTCAGACCTCAGTAGGTGTTTTGTAATTAAGCTGACCTAAATTTAAATCCAAAATATCAATTTAGAAAATCAACTTTTTTGACCTTTTCAAGGTCACTGAAGGTCAACGAAAGGTCAAATCTGAAATCTAAGGTCAGATTTGAACTTCTGAGAACTTGTAGATGTTTTTTTTTTAAAAATTTGGTCAATTTGGAGCAAGTTGAAAAATTCAAAATGGCCACCAAATTGAAAAATTCAAAATTGCCACCATGTAATTCAGCCAGCATACCCAAAACCTAATCAGATCTTGGCAATAGTCTGCTCTTGCATCTGTAAAAATTTCAAGTTGAACGGATAAGTGGTTTTTCTGGAATTTTGATGACAAGATTTGTTGAAAAATTCAAAATGGCCACCACGTAGTTTACCCAGCATGCCCTTAACCTAATCAGATCTTGGTACTAGTCTGCTCTTGCATGTGTAAAAATTTCAAGTTGAACAGGTAAGCAGTTATCCTGGAAATTTGATGACAAGATTTGGTTTATGTAAAAGTGTGATAAAAAGGTAATTATTTTACATCATTTATACATTTATGTTGAGTGATAAACTCTTATACCTCATATTCTTATCACTTTACATGTTGTAATCGGGGAACGCTGGAACCACTGAGATTCCGTTTACATATACAGATTTGTGTATTTATGGCAAAATTTTGCTTAATGCTACTATTTTGTCACTTGTGTCTTCACAAACGTCACAAGGGTCACATACTAAATCATGCATGATCATACCTACGCAAACAGCATCGCAGTCACTTTGAAACAGTTAATGATTTACTATATCTTGAAATGATAATATAATGATAAGATAATAAAACCTTCATCACATCTAGTATTGTAAAGGTTAATCATAACAGGGCGAGTAACTTTCGAGCCAGATTTTCAAAACTAATGCACCAATCAGACCCATTGTCTGAACTATAAATAAATTATTTAAAGGAGAGGACAACATGTTAGAATGAAACCAAATGAACCAGAGCAACATGCTCTTCCAAAGGGCTGTCTCGGCAGGATGGATAAATAAAGAATTCATATATTCATTGATATGACCTCTATGGGTAATTGCCCACATAATTGTTGTATGAGTAATTAAATACAATTCTCAGATATCATCCTGATAAAAACTAAAAACCTCGTTAAATATGATAACCAGAACCATGAAAAGCAAAAGCAAGATATGATAACTGAAATTATGCAAAACAGAAAAATAATTCCTATAGTGATTCTAAATGATTCTTGTGATTTCATTTATCTTGTGCTCTTTGTGCTTTCCAGTGATTGAAATGAATAAACAAATGAAATGTTGGAGAAGCAAGCATGGAAACAGGCCAAGCAATTCCAAACAATTACAGGGTGGGCCAAAAAAATTTGCAACTTTTTAAAAGGCTAGAAAAGTATCAAAACATAAGAGTATTGCCATAAAAAATTATTTACAGAAATTTAAGGATAGGCATATTTTACCAGTCAAATGCTAAAGCTAAAACTGGCTTCAATTTTTTTTTGTCAGATCTTTGAATATCAATGGTCAATTGTTCATGTGTCCAAGATTTACCATTTTTCCTAGAAAATGTGACTTTCTATGATTTTATGTGATCAACAATAACACATTCATAATGTTCACTAAATCTGCTACAATCTTGGATAACTGTTTAAACAATGTCTACCTCAATGTCTAGTTTATATCAGTATCTAGTCACTATGGTATTATGTAATAGTGTATTTATTAATTATCAATTTAAAAATGTTCTATGCATCCCCCTTTCACCTTCCCTATCACTCCCAGCCATCGGGCAAAAGTCACTTTGGAATATCTGGAGGAGAATAAGCCTTGATTCATTAGTCCTGATGAATGGCTGACAAATACCCCAGATGCCAACTCCTGTGACTATCACCATTGGGGGCACCTGGAGCAGCTTATTGCAGTTAATGGTAATCCCCCACAAACTCTTGTTAAACTAAAAGAAGTTCTGCAGGAGAAGTGGAAAGAACCACCACAAGAATTGCTGGATCGCGCCACTGACCAGTTCCGCCCATGTCTCCTTGCGCGCTGTAGAGAAGGTGAAAGGTGGATGCATAAAATTTGTTTAATTAATATTCAAATCAATAGATACATAATATCATAGTGACTAGATACTGATATAAACTGTACTAGACATTGGTTGAACAGTTATCAAAGATTGTAACAGATTTAGTGAACATAATGAATGTGTTCTTGTTGATCACATAAATGAAACATTTTCTAGGAAAAACGGTAAATCTCGGACACATGAACGACCATTAATATTCAAAGATCTGATAAAAAAATTGAAGTTTTAGCTTTAGTATTTAAATGGTAAAATATACCTATCCTTAAGTTTCTGTAAATAATTTTTTTATGGTAATACCCTTATGTTTTGATACTTTTCTAGCCTTTTAAAAAAGTTGCAAATTTTTTTGGCCCACCCTGTATGTGATAGGCGATACATGCAAAATGTCACCACCTGCCATTTGTTACAGATCCCAAACTCCAAACATTGACCACCAAACACCATCCACAAAAAAAGCCGGACACTATAACAATATGTCACCACATGATGTCACTACAATAAGTGATGGTATCATATTAAATCTGGATGCACTCTGTATACTAAAATGGATGGAATTATAAATGAAGTTATGAATCATTTTCCCAGTCACCATCTTCCCAGTGATCTTCATCTATCTCACTTTTTTGTTTATTTTAGGATGAATGTATTGGTTTAGCCTCATTTATGGGATCTTACTATGCTTACTCTAATTGATAAGAGAAGGAGCAGCTTTCTTGATGCAACAGCTACTCTAATTTTGCAAATATGTATTCATTTGGGGTTTCAGGAATAAGCTTTACTACGCTTTGCGTAATTGAAACATTTTCCTTTGATCCGAATCTTTCAGAATCAGATGTGATAATCCCATGGTGATAGAATTTGGCTTGCTGGTTAAATTTATCAAAACAAAAATCCTTAAGGTGGATTAAAGGTGATTAAGATATGATGCTCAAATGCTCCTTTTTATTTGCTGATCAATAACAAACTAGAACAAAAACAGCAACTTCACAGAGTAGCAGACCCATCAAACAACCATATAAAATTTGAGCCAAATCCATCCACTGGTATTTGAGCTATCAAAGATTATGTTTTTAATGAAACATGGTGGCCATTTTGAAATTCAGCTGCTATCTTTAAAATTTCTTCTTGAGCAGAGGTCCTAT